AACACATATGGACAATTTTCACTCGGACTTAAAACTTGGGAAAATACAACGCTGGTGAGCACTATAACTATGGTGAAATTCAATAGTTTATAATATGGCTAGATGCATTCATAGAAGCCTTAAATTTCGCACACACGAACGCAATACCATCGGCTTCCATGTCACCCTGATGAAAAAACTAGCATGCCACTGGCTACTTTGTGACTCTGATGAAAAAGCTGTGGCACGTGCCGGTCCGCAGCACGCACTTTTTTGCCGACCTTCCTCACCATTTAGCGCGGCGCGTTCGGGTCGATGGAAGTGATAGCAGCATGCGGGCTGCCCCTGAGCTGCATCGCAGAGCGGCCTGCCAGCCGCCGCATCTGTGGAGTGGAGCTGCGGGACGCATAGGGGCCTCCCCTCACGTCGCACCATGCTGACGCCGGCACTGCGCAGAACAGCTGGATCGCCTCGCTGGTGTAGGCCGCAGAGGCCAGGTCTGGTCAGAAGGTCAGGTCACCGGCCAGGCGAAGCTACTGCCGAGAGGACAGCGGCGCCTGAAGGCAGTGCTCTCGGTGGGACTGCCGGTCGATGTTGGCACGGGTGGGGCAGATCAGAGGATGTGACATTGCTTTGGGGATATGACATCCCGACCCGGACGAGCAGCCCGAGGGAACTACCTCTGAGGGCGGGGCCGCGCTATTTCTCGGCATGTTCATCTGTGCCGAGGTAGAACCCCGTGTTCGGTGGCATGCCAGACCCCATCTAACGTGAAATGGCTTTCGCCTTACTTGTCGACGTCGAAGTCCTTGCGTGCAGCCGCGGGACGGCGGGCGGATTCGTGTTTTTGTGCTACTGCTGGCCGTCGGTGACGTCAGGGCTCTGATCCTGGTCTTGTAATCCATGCCAGATTCTTCGTTGGCTTTCGCAGGTATGCTGAGGGAACTTACCGGTCCCCCCCCCCAAAAAAAAACCGGAGTTCTGCGGCCACGGTTCACGGCCGAGTGGGTCACTTACCTCTTCTTTGCAACCGTCATCAGCCGGATATGTCGCTGGACTCTCCCTTAGTTTGCTGGCGCGGGGGTCCCTCATTCGTCGTAGTGTCGAGTGTTATGGGACGCTCACCTCATTGTTCTAGTCAAAGACGCGTCCAGTAAACTACGCATCTTGCGTTTCGTGACTAAAACTCTGGCATGGTGGCTGAATAACTTCCGACATGCTGAGAAACTGGCAGGGTAGAACATAATATTTGACATGTTAATGCCAGACAGCGGGGTCTTTCGGTGGGGAAAAATGCAGAGAGAAGCTAGAACGGTGTCGTTTTCCCTGCTATCCGGCATTATGTGTCGGGAGTCCCCATATTGAAAATGATCAGTCTCCATTGTACCAGAGGTCGCTGGTTAAGTGGCGCTATCAAATAAGCTGTTCTTTTTTATTGAGACATTCACAATATTTGGTAGCCTCGTATCCAACATAATGATCTTTCAGTGGCAATGTTATGTTGGAATAACGTTTAACCATTGCATCGTGTTATGTTGAAGGTCAGTTGGTATGAGTATAACCTCTCATTTATTAATGTCAAAAATGCATGTCATTATATGGACGAACCGCTGAGAAATCGCAGTTTGAAGTTTGTTGAAATGATCAATCCCCACTTGTTGGCATGCTTCCGACCTTTTCCCCTAGACTACGTTAGATGTTTGGAAAGGTTAACACGCGCCCGGGTGGCCGGTCGGATACCCTTCGCTCGGGTGGGGGGTCAGTCTGACCCCACTGAGATCTCGGGAACTAAGAGAGCTAGAGACACCAAATTCACAGAGTGCATCGACCTGCACGTGAACTCTCTTAGGCCGAAGTTTGAGGTTACTAGGTCATGATCTTCGGGTCAAATAAGGTCAAACAAGATCAAATTCCAGATTGGTCTTCAAAGAGCTCCTGGAACCTAGGCAACTGTTCTAAGAAAAATTTAACACGCTCAGTTGATATCAGTGACCTTGTTTGACCTTTTAACACGCGCCCGGGTGGCCGGTTGGATACCCTTCGCTCGGGTGGGGATGGGGTCAATTTGACCCCCCCCCCCCTTGTGAGATCTCGGGAACTAAGAGAGCTAGAGAGACAAAATTCACATGGTGTGTCGACCTGTACATGAAATCATCTAGGTCAGAGTTTGAAGCTCTTAGGTCATGACATTGGTGCCAGATAGGGTCAAACAAGGTCAAAGTCCAGATTGGTCTCCAAAGGCCCCTAGAAGCTAGGCAACTGTTCTAAGCAAAATGCCACTTGCTCAGATCAGGCCCGTGACCTTGTTTGAACTTTTAAAGGTCGCTATGACCAAAATGATATAAAACTATTTTGAGTTTTGCATTTGCATAAGCAACAAAGATTACGCTAGGCAGTATTTTCTTAAAAACAAAATGTTGACCTGGGTCATTTTAGGTCAGTGACCTATTCTGACCTATAAGAAGTCCATGGAAGGTGTGTAATGCGGCTTTTGCTATCAACATATTCGAAATAAGCATCAGAAACCAGCCCATACAGCAAGCCCGAGAGTAATAAAACAGGTTGGTTTGACCTTGGTCTGACCCTCATGCCTGACCCTAGGTCAATGTCATTTGCTTATTCAATTGTTGTGTTGACCAGAAATTATCTCAGAGATGTATGGCTTCGTCTAACGCTCTGTTGTTTCATCGGATTGAACGATTCCCTAAAATGTGTCTTCGCTAAAACCACGGCCCGACTTTGACCTACCACGGGTCAGCAACCTTACAAGGTACATCTAAATTTTTGATGTCAGACGATCCGCTATTCAATTTTCTACAGCCATGCAAAATTTGGCGCGGCTACGCCGCGCCGTTCGGAAACCATTTCTGGAAAATCTTTGGGGGGTTAATTTGACACCCACCCGAGCGGGTGTTAATATTCAAATAAAAAGAAGCCTCATCAAACGGTAACTTGACGTATTTGCTCCTAACGTCAAATATTATATGCGTGTTAAGGTTGTGCAGGGAAAAATTTGCCTCCTCGCTGCGTTGGTATGCGACACACTACGTGGGCCGAGCTGACGCGCTGAGTCCCTTTTGAACCATGGGGACAGAGGCGTGGATCCATCTCACAAGTGGTGGGCAATGAGCGTTTGGTGGCCCATGTGGTGTCGTGTAAATAATTGGGCTATTGCAGCACTGTCCTCGAGCTGGACGTCGCTGTCTTCGTGGTCCTACCCCTCTTCGCTGCCGCGCTGTTGGCAGCGACGCTACAGGACTCCAACAGGTGGTCACAATGGCTGTTGTACGCATGCAGCCCGTGCGTACGACAGGGTTTGTTATTGTTGGCTGACTAGTTCAGAATCAAGACGCAGCGAAGCTGCTGCGGCCTGTACAGCGAACAGCTTACCGGAGGGTGACCATGTAAGAATTGGTCGAGATGTTCAATATTACGCGCGTGTTCAAAAGCATAATGCTGCACAGTCTGAGTCGCTGTGACCATGTAGACGAACTGGCACGGAGCGCTATCCAGTGCCGGAGCTTTGCCACGCGCCCCGTCTGGCGTGGTGTGGGCGGGCTCGACCTTCGTGTTCGGAGTCGTGGCCCCCGCTGGCGCGCGTCGCCGAGCTCGGACGGCGCTGCGGCCTTTTGCCATCGAGTGACCGCAGTCCGGCCCCTCGCGTTGTGGGCAGGACCATTACGCCGCGATGTATGGAATCCGCCACCTGACTGACGGCTAATCGATGGTGCTCTGGGCTGATGCCTGCGGTGTCCCCGGGGGCGACTGCCGGTGCATGTTGGCCGGCCTGGACTGCCCGCGGTGTCCCCGGGGGCGACTGCCGGTGCATGTTGGCCGGCCTGGACTGGCCCGCGGGGTGTGCCTTGGGGCCTGCACCGTCGGCGAGCCCTGGGTAAGGACCATGCGAGGGATGAGCGCGGGCCGCCGCGCCGCTGCCGTGAGTGCGTCCGCACGGCCGGCGCCGCTGGATGCCGACGGTGGTCTGGCGTCCGTTCAGCTAGTACCTACCACATGTAGACATTCCAATACTCGTAACGTGACTTAAAGCCTCCGACCCAGTACCTTCGACGCCCTTGGACGCAAGGACGATGGTTAGCGATGGAGGGACGCTGGGGTGTCTCCGCCTTCGCAGAACGGCATTTGTCTTTTGAGGTGGCGTGACGAACGCACCAAAAGCACTCCCTGCGTCTTCTTCTGGTCGTGGCCGCGCCTCCGGTCGGTCTGCCGCGCGTTTCAACAGCTCACGCTCGTCGACGGTGGCCGTGCGCGCGCGCCGCCTGTGGCGCGAGGTGTCACGCTGCTGGGCATCGGCGCGGCAGCCGTCGCCGTTCGCACGCACGGTCGGGCGGCGTCCTTGACCGGGACGGGCGCGCGCTGACCGGCGGCGCCGGGCTGATTACGTCGTGGACACGCCGAACGGGTCGATGCTCTATATGACGGGACGTCCGGCCGGCGCGCTGGTCAGCGCGCACCGATGCCGGCCGGCCGGTAATCCGCATGAACGGACGGCCGGTCGTTACCGATGTGGACGGCACTGTGCCGACGGGAGTCTCGCGGCCAGCCGAGCCTGCCGCACGAGCTGATCCGTGAATTGATGGCTTCATTGGTCTGTGCGGCACGCTGCGGAAGCCAGCGAACTGTGTCGCGGCGGAGACGGACGGCTGGCCTTGGTTTTTTTACGCGTTTAGCTTCGGATCCGGTGATGTGTCTGCTGTGGACTGCGGTGGCCGCGTCTCTAGTCGGTCGGCTCGAACGTCGCTGACGCTCCGATCGGCCTCTGTTCTGGTCCGGTCTGACGCCGCACCGGTGTGGCCCAATCCGGCGCCGGCTTGGTCTGGGTGGAGCCCGTGCGGGTCCGGTCTGACCTCCGCTGGGCCGATGGCACGCCGCAGGCTTGTATGGCCGTGTTCGGGTGTAGCGTGACCCGGCGCCGGTCTGCTCCGGCCTGGCGTCCGGTGGCTGTCGCGCCCGTCTGGTGTGACGGGATCCCGGCCGAGTCTGACCCGACGGCGCCCCCACAGGCTCCATCATGTTCCACGTGCGCCGGCGGTCGGCCGACTATCAGCCGCGGAAGCGCAAGAAGAAGCCGGCGCAGCCGACCAATCTCTCGGACGTGGACCATAGCTACCGCGGCCACGACGAGGCCAGCCTGCCGTTCCTGGTGGAGCTTAACACGGACGGAACTAACATCCGACACACGGCGCCCAGGTAACCACCGGCACGCGGCGGGTGTGTGACAGCAGACATGCCACGCCCAGGTGATCGCTGACATTTGACACGGGGGTGCCGAGGCGACCGCCGAGACTCGACGCCCAGCGCCCAGTGAACCAACGGGTAGCCATCGGTGTCCGAGACACGCGTATCGATTCGGCACATAAAACTTCCACTGCGGGCAAACATGTACTGCAAGGCTACCAAAACACAGAATTTTTTACCCTCGCTCCACGACTCTGCTGTAAGTATAGACACTGCATTGGTCCACAAAACAAATACGTATGTCAAGCACGTAGTGACATGGGTGGTACGCCTAGGTCCTGTAGACTCATGAGAAAAACGGAACGGGACCGGAACGAGGACTTCGCGAAATAAACAACGCGAGTCGATTTTGAATAATACCTTCGGCTCCCGAGTGTACGCCACCTTCAGGGGCTGGGGATGGCACCCAAACAAGGACACGGTAACCGGGGGCGAGGGGGTGAGGTAGTGGGGGCAGCTCCCCCAACCAAAAAGCTGGGAGGGGGCATGCAAAAGTCTATTCTGGCCTGTGAAAGGCCATTCTGGGGTATTTAGGGTTCCTTGTGACCAAAAGAGAGCAATTCCGAGCCTGAAGTGGGGCTTTAGAGGGCCCATTCTGACCTTTAGAAGAGTCATTCTGGCCATAAGAGAGTTCAGTATGACATGCAGACCCATTATGACCTGCAGAAGGTCTATTATTTACTATCGAGGGTTTTACTCCTTGTTTACTTGTAGCCGGCCAAGTACGGTCTGTAGGGGCCCAGTATCATGTTTAAGAGGGTCCATTCTGGTATTTTGGAGTCCCCCACCCAACCTGAACATAGATCACGTGACCCTGCACCCAAATCCGTCTCGGCTACATCGCCGTCGGTTGTATGCGTGACGTGATCAGCGCTGCGCCAAGAAGAGCACCACAGGGCTGGGGTGGGGCTGCGGCTGCGGCTGTGGTTGCGGTTGCGGCTGCGGCTGCGGCTGTGGCTGGGCCTTGGTCCGGGACTGCAACTGGGCCTGGGCCTGGGACTGTGGCTGAGCGTGGAACTGGGCCCGGGCCTGAGACTGCGTCTAGGCGTGGGCCTGGCGCCACGGATGGGTGTGGGCCTGGGACTAGGCCTGTAACTGGACTTGTGACTGGGAATAGGACTGGGCTGGTCCTGGGCATGGGACTGCGCCTGGGCCTAGGCTCGGGACTGCGGCTGGGCCTGGGCCTGGGACGGGGACTGTCATTACGGCTGGGTCTGTGCCTGGGTCTGGGCCTGGGCCTGGGCCTGGGCCTGGACCTGGCCCTGGCCCTGGCCCTGGCCCTGGCCCTGGCCCTGGGCCCGGGTCTGGGCCTAGGTCTGGGTCTGGGGCTGGGACTGGGGCCATGCCTCATGGCAACACGAAACCTAAACAGTTGTGTCCCTGGTTTACCCGGGGACGCTAGGGACGTGTTTTGGTGGCAAAACACGCGCATTATCCGCCCCCATAGGCTCCGGGAAAGTCGGGCGCCATTTCGTGACATCCCGGATAGGCATCTTTAAGAAACCTTAGGGGTTCACATCAGGGGGTCCCACTCATCAGGACGGGGGGTAACAACGAACAAAAATTTTGGCACGTCCCTGTCTCACTCCACACGTTCAGAGGCATCCATGTGCCTATGATTACCTCACTGGCGTGACGCATGGTTCAAGCTTAAATTTGTGCCAGTTCAGGACTTAGTCACAGCCCATTCACAATTCAGCACCAGTGGGAACCAAGCCGAAAATCCACACTTTATCGGACTTGGAGAGTGACTAAGAAAAATGTGCTCATCGTGCCCAGCATCGTAGCGGTCTTGTAGCTAATTCATGTGAGCTTGAAAGACGACACCATGCGGGCCTGGCGTGTGTGGCTGCATTTATTGATGTGCACGTGTGCTCTGATGCGCAAGTTTGGTATTTCGCGCGCAGATAACAAGACTGTTATAATCTGGTAGCTTTACAACGCATTTCTACTAGGCGTGTATTCTTCATATGCGCTGGAATAAATACGCCTCCGACACACGCTACTCCGGTAACTATTGGGACACGTTACATCGACTGACACCCAACGTTTCAAGCTTGTGACATCCGACACGCGGCGAGCCACAGCCTGTAGAGCCCGACACAACAGTACGGTGTGGCCCAGCTAACCTGACTCTCGGTATATGCCACTCGGGTGACCACGTGCTGGATATAGCACCACGTAGAGGGAACCTAACTCATTACAGCATTGGGTTAGTGGTGCTGAGGGTTAGTGGTGCTGTTAGCGTCGCCTTCTAGAGACAAGCGATGTTTTATGACTGGAGTCGGGCGCCCAAATTAATGCGCATTTTATGTATTCGTGATAGATGCATTCTGCTGCAACACTCAATATGGCTGCATTCCGTTACGCGTCGAACAAGACTAGCTAAGTCGGCGTCCGAGATAGCCTGGCCCACTGACGGGAGCAGCCCCGGCACGGCCCGTCCTGACCCCCAGCAGGCCTGGTTAACGCAGACCCCCGGCTCGGGACCCAGCGATCAAGGCCTCGCTTGGTCACTGGTCTCGCACTTCAGATGCACTTCGCGTTGTAGGCCACGTCTGTGGTTCGCCTTGGATAGGCCCAATCTGTCCCGGCTTTGTAGCGTCGTCGGGCTGTTTACGCTGGATGTGTGGGCTCGACGCCTTCGCCTCTGCGTAATGTGGCGCACCCGGCGTCAGGGCTCGGCAGACCTCTGTTGACGCCGTGTGCCGAGCTCGCCGTCGGGCACCGGGCGGCGCCGGAGGCGTCCGGCCCAGCGAACGTCTCGTACTGACCGGCGGTGGGTGACTGTGTCGCGCCGCAGGCGGCTCAGTCTGCACCTCAACGTCACCGAGGTGGGGAGCGAGCGGTCGCCGCAGGCGGCCGGCCAGTGCCTGCAGCTGACCGGCCACAACGTGCACCCGCGCCACTGCGTCATCGCGCACACGGAGGGCATCGTGACGGTGACGCCGTGCGGACGCGAGGCCGAGATCTACGTCAACGGACAGCGCGTCTACGAGACCACCATCCTGCAGGTGAGGGGCGGCGCCGGCCCGATGGAGGTGTACTGGGCGGTGGCCGAGGAGAGCCCGGTGCTCTGGGTGGTGGCCGAGGGGCGGCCCGGTGTGCTGGGCGGCGGCCTAGGGGCGGCCCGGCGTGTTTGGTGGTGGCCGAGGGGCGGCCCGGCGTGCTGGGCGGCGGCCGAAGGGCGGCCCGGTGTGCTGGGCGGCGGCCTAGGGGCGGCCCGGTGTGCTGGGCGGTGGTCTAGTGAGGCCCGGTGTGCTGGGCAGCTGCCGAGGGGCGGCCCGGTGTGCTGGGCGGTGGTCGAGTGAGGCCCGGTGTGCTGGGCGTGCGAGGGGCCCGGTGTGCTGGGCGTGTCGAGTGAGGCCCGGTGTGCTGGGCAGCTGCCGAGCTTTGCTGGCAGCTGCCGAGGGGCGGCCCGGTGTGCTGGGCGATGGTTGAGCGAGGCCCGGCGCGTTGGACGGCGGCCGAGGGGTGGCCCGCGAGGCACACCCTGACCTGCTTTCAGCAGCTACCACATGACCGTACCTGATGAATGCCCACTATGGGAACCGCAGGGATGGGTTAACCATGCACCATGTGGTCCATATATAGCACAATTTGTATCATTATCGTATCACTATATGTGATAGTCATACAGTCTGATAGTTATGCATGAAGGCATTCAGTAGTGCCTTCGTGTACTTTGGCTTAGGTGGCTGTGTGTCCTGTGCGAAGCGTTTGGGAGATGATCTGTTGGCAGGCGAGGCTGCTCAGGCAAAGTTTAGCATATGTCTGGTCGCCAAAGTGACCTTGAGACGGCGCGCCGACGAAGCGCATCGGAGCACCGTTACCACCTTGATGGCGCTGTGGCGAGGGGTCCTGCATTCGGCCGGTGCATGCGGCGTGTTACGCCTGCTCCACACGCGCCATCTGGGATGACCGTGAATGGTGCTGTCAGACCGCTACGTGCGTGCCTACATCTTCCAGTGTGCGCGCTTTTATTTAGCGTTGATTGGTTCGCCATATCGCGGGCCAGTATACCTGGCCGCATTTGTGTTTATCGCATGTGTGTTTAGTATCGAATAGTCTAGTGTATGGCCACTATCAGGTGTCGTCACATACATGACCACATGGCCACAAGAAGTGTAAGGCCATAGGTACAACCATCAGTAATTAAATGACATTATTTCTGCATTGTGCAGGCAGATTGATATTGTTCGATCACGTTCCGCTCCTTGGATGAATTTTGACGCAGGGAGCGTTTTCATCTTCCCTACATTTTTTCAGCGTACTTATTCGCACTGAATGTGATTAGCAAGTTTATACTCATCAAATTTTAGGAGTCACATCGGTTCGGTCCGCTGATGGCGCAGCCGCTAAGTTATTTGATCAAAACAACCATGGATATCTATACGATCTGCTTGGTAACTGACCGCAACAGACCAATGTCACCGTAAATGTTCGTGTGTCGGAAGTTTTCTTTCAGAAGTTTCCGCTTCCAGTGCTATTTCATGGAATATTATGCCCCTGTATTGCGTTAATATCTCATACACATCAGCACGATACGATTCGTGAAGCCGCTAGGTTTCTGCACAGCTCAATTGAATGTTTATGCCGAAAACGTAAATTTTGCGAAGCTTTTGCGCTCCGTGCCGTGCGGTCATGGGAGGCTCCGCGTCGCCTGGAGGTCATGTATTTTGATGTGTTTTAACAGCCTGAATGAGAGGATAGGCTCAAAAGATGAGCAGTTTTAGCACGAGGCTTCGTGACCAGTAGATGTACACTGTGAGCCATTGTTAACGAGCATTCACATCTTGATCTTGGCGATAATACCGCACTCATCCTATTTCAAACTTGCTTACGCTGGCAAGATTACCTTGACCGTCAAATTCGGAGAAGTCTTTTCATTTATACGTTAATGACGTCATGTGTCCGCTGCCAGACAGGTGGAAAATGAGCCCCTTATCCATCCTGTTGTCATCCGGAGGCTACGATGGAAACGGTAGATTGAAGCCGGGCCTCTGGCGCCTGATTAACCTGTCACGAGGTAACTAATGCTCGCCGAAAGCGGCCTAGCGCCGCGGATGGTATTGGATTGCAGGTGCGCGTAGGTCAAGTGTTAATTTTAGCTTTCGTCGGCCGACATATGGCGGTGAAGACCCAGCTAATATTTAACCTTCCAGTTTCCGGGCGATCGTGCTGGAAGAAAACGTATCGGAAAAGTGGATCGCGGTAGACTGATTTGCATTCATTAATTGTGAACATTCTCGCGTACGCCTGCTGACATTCATGGAATTTTAGAGAGATTGTGAGATGTGGGTGGTTCCAGTTTGTGTGCATCAAATCAGATATTTGTGTTCTTTCTTTCTCTGGCTACAGTGTGATATCATCCAGCAACCCATTCACACTATTTGTTGTTGGTCAAGAACATGCCTAGCAGGCCGCATACAAATTTGCGTTAGATTCATACACGTGTTCAGTTTTTTATTTGCGTGGTAGGCAACACGATGCACGACGTTCTGGAAGTATTTTCGAGCTAACGGGCCTCCCATTGTTGACAAGGAGTAACTTTGAACGGGATCTGGGCGAAGACTGGGGTCCATGAGTGACAGCGCGTCAATTTACGGCCAATGATACCCCATCTGTTAACTGCTATACTAAATTGAGTTCTTAGGTGTTCCATTCCCAGCGAAATGGCAGCAAAAATGATTGAAATCAGCTCTTTCGAGAAGTGACGCTAGCGTTTTCGTTTACCTCCCTTTTTTGTTTTGCGCATTTGAAAATAAGCTTATGGAAATCTGGACAAAGATACGATGGACGGAGTGCCAAGTTCGACGTGATTGAGAATAGACAACTTGGGGCGCGATGTGACGACTCATGTTGCAAAGGCATAAGGATTTGATTCGATTTATACACATATTCGGTTCTGTATTTGCGTGGTAGGCAACATGACGCGCGACGTTCTGCAAGCAACACCCGTATGAAATAGTATTTCCGATCAGGCATGATCATATATAATTGTGATGTCACATGGAATGAATAGTGTCACAACACAAGTAGTGTCTGGAGCCAACGCAATACAAAAAGGCCAAGAAGTGTCGCCATCGGTGCTTAAAAGCAGGTTTCATGCAGGCTGGCTATAAGGAAGAGCCCGCGCAGAAGGGGGGGGGGGGGGGGGGGGGGGGAGGGTGAGTTGTAAGGTTGCGGGCACAGCTACATGCGTGTATGGCGCTGGTTATCTAAGTCATCTGGCGAATGGTGCCGCGCTTCTGATGGCGCGTGCTGCCGGTCACACCCGCTCCCTCACGATCCTGCGTCCGCCTCTGCAGAGCGTTACTGGATTGGGACTCTACCTGGCAACAGTCTGACAGTCGCGAGGCACCGATCAATGGGGTTGTGCCGAGAGTGGTAATTTGGATTTGGAGATTCAGCGTTGGTGTAATTATTTCCCCATCCAGGTCGAAGATGAAATCTTGCATCTGCTTGCATATGCGAGTTTGAGTAAAAAGGAGTTTTTTTGTTTGCTGACGGTGGTGTCCGCGGGCAAAATTTACTTCGCCTAGATTTCTTTACGTGTTCTGTATCAACTGCCGCTTGAACTAGTTTCGTGTATCAACCAAGTTATGTTGTTTCGATGTTTTCCAGGTAAGCGTCTTGACAAAACTCATTCAAGCATGGCTTGAATTTAATGCCTATTTCACAAACCTTAGAAACCTGCTGACTTCTTTTAGTATGTCTCCATAGTCCGTTGAGCGTTAGCCCAGTAGCTAACTCTTAGCCGTGGCCCATCGGTGGACGAACGTGATGACGCTTCTGAAATGATTACCTTTAAAACTTTAGTCGACTACTAACACAAGTTGTCTGACGCAGTTTTGAGCGTGCACACTAGAAAATCTCAGAAACACAAGCCTCGACCTTAGGCGTTGCAGTCTCCGTGGGCTGCGCGGCGTCGGCCTAGCAGCCAATACTAAGTTGTGGCCAACGGGTTGACGAAAATGACGGCGCTTCTGAATACCTTTGGAGCGCAGCCTGAGCGCATATTTCACGTCAGCAATTTTTACGCAGATGAAAAGAACGGGTTGGCCATTAAAGCACCGCGTAGTGGAGCTGTAATTTGGTGGTTGAACTGGAAGAGTGAAGGTAGAATCTCTATTTTTCGTGTTTTTGCAGCTATTTGTCTATCCAGAAGGCAGATTAACACGGCGTCCGCCGTCTGGTGGCACTTGCAGTGGCCGAAACTTTTTGGTTTTACGGAAGTTGGAACCCAGACCATCCTTGTGCTTGCCCTCGAGGTTGCGGTCGGACATGTTCTTTTGATGTAATTTGCAATATATTTTGATGTAATTTGTTTCAGCAATATATTATGGAAAAATGGACGTCCTCAGGCAAACATGGCATGACCCTGCTCGTTTTCTCTGAGCTCATTTCGACCCACCCTATTCAACACTAAGAAGACACCCATTCTGTCAGCAGTAATGAAACCCCGTATTTCCTTCTGGGCAAGGGGCCCCTTGAGTAAAACACCAAGGGTGCATTACCGTTTCCGGTCAAGGGCTGAGGGGCCATTCCGTTCCATCACGGGTAGGGAGGCCTTCTGACCCGGGCAGCTAGCCCCGGATCAGCACAGGAACCCTCAATGATGCAACAACATCCCTGATCACCGCTGGTAGTCCAATAATTGTCACACGGACTCCAGTTTCGTGTTGTTCTGTGTTCTTCAGAGATATTGAGTTCTCCCTGACCGTAGATTGTAAATAAAATTGGGTTCCTAATTTGTATTAACAAGGCTAACCCATTTTCGTCTTAAAATGCTCAAGATTCTGTTAGAACTGATTTCTGATAAGAAAGCTACGTAATATGGTCTTCAACATACGCGCTTGCTAGTTATAGCAACAACAGCCTCAATGCCCGGCGTTGCAGTCTCCATGCTGTGCGGCGGCGGTCTTGCGACTGTAATACTAAGCGATGGCCAATGAACAGACGAAAAAGGTGACGCATCTTATGGGGGATGGCTGGTGAACTAGGTAAATCGGCATGCATGTTAAATGTAGGGCAAAAGTAAGCCAAATGCAACCTTAATCTGAAAAGTGGGGGCCAGTTAACATTGCTGCCCCGCACTTTGAAAAGTGGGGGCGTGGCCCCCCTGGTCCCCTGTTCCTACGCCCATGTCCAATTGTGAAGGCGTTGCAGCGATCGGTGCAGTAGGTTCTGAGAACTTATTGTCTGTTTTTGCATGTAAAATTTTCCCTCCGCATTTCTAAGGTGTTTGAACTCAGGCCAGGTCTCGATGTTATCTCTCCATGGCGAATCTCATTACACGGAATCGATTGCCAAATATTTCAAGGCGATTGGACGAATCTTTTCGGAAAACGAGCATATCTGCTTCATATATCGGTTTTCTAGACCCTGCTGAGAAACTACCCATCGGCATGGATTTCGCGCTTCTTCCTTGTCTACCATATTCGGTTTCAGATGAGTCGGCGAAACCGGGGCTGATGCGCAGCATTATTTCCAGAACAGATGGCAATTTATTGGCGACGCAAGCACTGGCGCGTCCCCACGTCATACCATAGCTGCTAACGCACCGGATAACCGGAAGAGCTGTGACAACCCCGAGAAAGGCGAAAAATTATCACCCTTAGCGTACCCGTGTGAGAGGGGTCTCGGGGAATGCCCTCGGGGACGTGTCCGGCCCGAATCCGTATCCGTATCCGGCACGCGGAGACGCGAGTGTAGATAAGATTGACGCGGATGTGGCGCACACGATGTTGTGCTGTGAGAGTGGTAAAGGCAAGGTGAGAGTGTAGCGGCGCGAGGCCTACACTGTGGCGGAGGGAAGGGTCGCCGATGGGTGGCTTAAGCATGCGTACGCTATGGATATATAGTGTTGGGTGGGAACCATGCGTGTTTAAAGTTTGTTTTAGTGCTTTTATGGTCGACAGTGTTGTCAGCGTTAAAACTGTGCACAGGCGATCGCTGTCTGTCTCGCCATCTGTCCACTAATGGCAGATGAACCAACAGACCTCGGATTGGTGTCACCGCTGACCATTGATATCCCTTAGGAAAACGGCCTCTAAATGACGTGATATACCGTGTAGCCCGACCACGAAGTTGTTCTCGCTTTTTGTGATCCTACCTTCCCCGGACGCGTTTCCCTGTCTGTCAATCCGGGCCGGCATTAACTCAATGCCGACACCTATGCTTTCGAAAGGACTGGTACAAGCATTATGAGCCCGGTCACTCGGCTGCAACCGGCCGATTGATAGCACGGGCCTCGGGGTGCACATATTCACGTTTGTGTCACTGTACGGGGCCTGGGCTGTGGACTGAAGAAAATATCGGGGTAACTCCTGCCACCTTTCTCTAGCGTCGCTTGATTATAACCAAGTGCGACAAGAGCATTTAGGAAATGAGGCCCGATTGAAAGGTGTTGCGGTTGAAGTGTGGGTGAGGGCGGATTGGGTGTCGTTGGTGGACGTTGGTAACAAAATTGGTTGAGATTCTTTATTATTGGACGAAAGAAATTTATGTGGCGCGTGCGCGTCTGGTAATTCCTGCTTGATGTGGATCATGCTCGTGTGGTTTGTGCACGAATAGCTACGCGGACTCATGCTTTCTGGTATGAAGCCCGGAGTACCAATTTTACCAGGGTTGAATTCCCTGTCGAAAGCGTTGTCAACGCTTTGCAAGAGCAGTACACGTTTTCTTACTAGCCCCAAAGTATAACCCGAGCTCGCGATAACTGCCGTTACCACGATAGTCGTCGTCATGACAACTGCCGTTGTTATGACTACGGCAGAATCTGCTGAGGGCCGTTTTCGGTTTTTACTGGTAACTGTGGCTTTTGAGCTGTTTTAACCCGCACATTGTGGGACTGCGGACCGAAAAGCGGCGCCGTTACTGTTCTGAATGACGTCAGTACAAATGAACGTTTATGATTGGCGCAGCGGGCAGCAAGGGGCAGGTACCGAGAAGGGAAGTTCGGAACGCTACCGACAAAAAGTTAAAGTTCGAACCAGTGCGTGAATATGGACCATGTGGCACTTTTGTTTCCCAGAGCCAAATCGCGATTCGAGAAGAGCCACTATGCTGAACGTTATAAGAAATCAAAGACACAGTACGACATGTCGTTGAATTCGTGACAAAAGAAACCGCTGTTTGCATAGTTTTTGCTCTGAATAGTGATTATAGCTTTCGTAGCATTTATTATGCAAGCATTTGGCAAATAAGTGTTTTGCAAACATAACAGAAAACACATTGAAAAAGCAGTGCAAATTAAAGGTATTGCTATCATAGCGGTGAACAGAGAGTCCAAAGAGATTTCCTCCGTAGGAGCAGTTACTGCAAATCGAAATTATAAGCTATTTAGACGGATTTCGAGAAAACTGGTAGTACCGATGAAATCAGACGCGTCTGATTTAAGAACAAGTGAAGGTACAAAAAATGGCGTTCTCCCTTTAACGTTAGGGTGTTAGGGTGTAGGGCGTTCTCCCTTTAACGTTAACTTTTTTCTTATTACGTGGCTACAACTGCATGGTCACACGAACCCAAGCAAAGTTGACTTCGAGCTATCGTGTGAATCTATTTCCCCAATGGCTTGGAAAGTCTGTTTAAAGCTCGCGATGAGCACCGAAGTTTTATCGGCCTTCAGCTTGGTCGTTTAGAGATACTTCGTTTGGTTTGTCTCTGCGAAAACAAAAAGCCTCTTCGTCATGCCGTGCTCCTGAAACGTCCCGGCGTTGGAGACAGGTGGAGCTCTTGGGCGTAAGAGTGGTTCCGGCCCCGAACTTAAAATGTCACTCGCTGCTGATACGACCTTCTGCGCGCGACAAGTGACTCTCCAGCCGTGCATATAGACTGTCAAAAGCAGCCCCAGTGGGGCTGCTTTTGACAGTCGCTGGCGGATGTGCCAGCGTAGTGGCACGATGTTGACAGCTCCGGCCGAGCATTCTGCAAAGGCGGACGGTAACTTTTGAGCCCTGGTGCGGTCCCGGCCCCACCCAGCCGTCGGTGTGCCGTCCGCCCTGAGGCCCCCCACCTCTCAGTTGGCTGCGGCAGTCAGCACTGACGATGGCCGGTCTGGCTCAGCGGCTCGGCTGGTCCGGTACTCAGCGGGCATCGAGCTGCTTAGTATTGGGCTCGAAAAGCCGGTGCCGAGCTCCGGTGACCGGCTTAGCTGGTATCGAGCTGTAGCGACGGACTGGTGATATCAACTCAACCGGCCTGAAATCTCGCCCTGCCAGCACCCGCCGCGGCTGCGTGCGTCGCAGGTCGATAGGGCGAGCGGTATCGCTGGCCGGCATTGGGCATCGTGTTCGTACTCCGTTCTCCACATCTGAGTTCATGCTGCTGCGTCCTGGCCGCCGATTGCGCCGACCGCCGCAGGCGCGGTGAGCCGCGCCGCGCTGCGCGCCCGGCGTTTGTTTACCCGCGCCAATATTGCCGCTGGGGGCCACTGTGGTGGCAGGACCGGGCAGGTCCGACCTTGGCTGCGGTGACGACGTGACCATGAGGGGGTGCTCATCCCCAGACCATCGGGCGCCCGGAAACGGCGTACCTGGCCAGTCCGGATGGCTGGGATAGACTGGTTGGCCAAATAGACGTCCCGGAAACCGGGCGGCTCGTGCGCGTACAGTTGGACAAACGTACCACGGGTAGTATTGCTGATGGTAGACCGGCACGAGCTTAGTGAAGCTGGGAGCATTAATGAAACCGGACGGCTCGTGCGCGTACAGTTGGACAAACGTACCGCTGGTAGTATTGCTGATGGTAGACCGGCACGAGCTTGGTGAAGCTGGGAGCATTAATGAAACCGGACGGCTCGTGCGTGTACAGTTGGACAAACGTACCGCTGGTAGTATTGCTGATTGTAGACTGGCACGAGCTTGGTGAAGCTGGGAGCATTAATGCAGGTGGCATGTAGCTGGAGCCCGCGGGTGTGTTGCCTGTGGACGGCTTTCAGCCTCAACAGCGGCTGGGATATATGAAACTGAAGCGGTGGACCGGCCACGGTGGGTGCATGCGTGATCTGTTGTTAGCTGCAAATGCGCGCAACCAATGATGATTTCGAACGTCAAGCGAGAACTGCTTTGGTGATGGGGCTTTGTTATCCGCTAATGACGCTGGCGTGTGGTCCGCGAGTACCATCACCAAACGCGCTCTGGAGACCGCATTGTGCGAACGAACGAGCGCGTCGTGAGCCCTGTCCCAATCGAAGCGACTCAGTACCATGCTGTGTGATGTCGGCGACGGGCCAGGAAGGAGACCGGAGACCGGAGATCTGCGACGTTCCCCCGGCGCGGCGCCCGCTCGCGTGACGTGTCGCTCAGGGCTAACGACTGAACCCTCCTGAGCCGGGACCGTGCGTGCAGGCTCCGTCCCGACCCACCAGCCGCTCCAAGATAGCGACGCGCTCCCCGGTGTTTGTTGATGACGTACCGTTGCCCGGCGGCGCATCGCGGCGCGTGCCGTTGCCTTTGGCTTGCGTGTTGTGGTTGTGTCTGTGGCAAAACTTGGGATGCGCCGGGTTGTGGCGTGCGTATGTTTACGCGCGGTGGGTGTAGTAAGCTGGCGCTCACTTGATTGGCAGCACGGCTCGGTGGTGCAGTTTTGGCCGGGTGTACAAGTTCCGGTTCCTGGACCCGGCCCAGGAGGAGCGGCTGCGCGGCCGCCGGGAGAGTCTGCGCGGCCACGAGTCCTACATGGAGAGGTGAGCTGCGCGAGACCCACGTGTAGAGTATAGGGGGGGGGGGGGGTCGAGGCGGCCACGAGTCCTACATGGAGAGGTGAGCCGCGCGAGACCCACGTGTAGGGTATGGGGGGAGGGGGGGTCGAGGCGGCCACGTGTCCTCAGGTCAGACCAGAGCACGGGCCGATGACACGTGTGCTGGGATGTCACCTGTGCGACAGCGAGATGTCAGGCGAGATGTTGAGTCTTTTGATTCTGCAAATATCGCGATTGAGAGCTTTGGTGCGGGAACAGACTGCTTGGTGATGGACTCGCCCAAACAAACTATTTCCTCCTCCCTCCATGTTTTCCACCCAGTTTACACTTAATTTTGTAAGCTACGTTTTTTGCGTGCAAACCCCTTAAAACCCAGACCTGCATAAATGACATTCATCGCCACTTTGGCACTTGGGCTTTGGGATATAAGATTTCACCAGAGACATTTTTAGGTTATTGTCGTTCTTCCAAGCTATGCGTGCGCGTACGCGAAGTTTTCATTTTCCAACGATATATTTGATTTTGCAAAGCAAGTGCTCATCCATGCAAGCTAGCGTTAAGAGAAAAAAAAGCTCACTCCTTGTTTGAAAAAAAAATATCTGATAAATGGAGTAGGATCATCGACAGGCAATTTCTAAGTTACTTCTGCCATCTATATAGACAGGGGCATGTTGCCGAAATATCAACACATCTTGACGTCCACTTTCCTGGGTTTTTTTTCTAGGAGAGATAAGGCTGCTGTTGCTGCTGTCTTTTTCAAGTATAAGTCATTAATTACAAAAACACCCGAGCACTAGAAAGCTCTGCAATGTTGCCACAAAATCAATAAATAAAACATATTAAAAACGCCGCAGCACATCACAAATATGCCTTAAAAGGGTGCAAGAGCGCACTAACGTCGCTTTAATGCAACTCTAAAGAGCTCGAATGCGTTTCGTAAGAGTGCGGCCTACCAGCCTTTGTTCTCACGCCCTGGAGACCTGGATCAGTCTCTTGGTGAGAGCCTCAAGAGTGGGTTCAGAGTTGGCTTTGAGTCGAGAGACGAGAGCCTGTCGGTTCCCAGTACTGCGAATGTCGCGGAGGAGCGCTTTATCGAGCCTCCTCAAGGCAAGTGTTTCCTGTGTCCCACGCAGGTGAAATGTTCAGCTATGCGCAAACTATGACCAGAGTGCGTCCATGGTGATCCCGACATTTGCTTTCTTTTTTTGTCCTATGACGTGCGTAATAGTTTCAACGCAAGTCAGCTAATCAGCGGTATTGCATGCTGGAATGCTCAGTATCATACCATGCTCGGCCTGATGTAAGTCATCAAATGCGCAAGCCATTCTCGAGCTATTAACAGAGTCCTCGAATCCAGTCCAGTCTTCTGCTTTGGGTGACGTGGCATGGTCGCGGTGTGTTTCAGTGCTGGATAGGCCATGATAGAGAGAAACTTAGCATTATGCGAACTATTGCTCCAACTACGTCGCACCTTCAAGCTCACGAAATGAGGTATTTTGGTACTAAATTGAGACACATTTGTATGTAGATCTCATATTTGGCAGCAGTCTGGCCATCATTTGAGAACCCATTCCAAGTTGAAACAGTCCCATTACAAAACTATGCTTCACACCACGGACGGTGATGGGCCAGCCCAGTCCGTCGCCGAGGCTGGAGACCCTTTGGTGTGCTTTTCGTTGTAGGCTTAAGATTTTAGCTCTCATGGCATGGAACACGCAGACACAGTGGGAGAGACGGGGCTGCGTTACTCAAGTTACTGCGTGAACGATGTGTGCGTAGTCAAGTTGACAGTCAGGCGCCTGATGCCGGAGGTGCACGACGAGGTGATCATTTCGCCTCGCTTGCAGTATGCGCTTATGTAATCGCGGATCCCCCCCCCCCCCTCGTTCCCCTGCGATGATCAAGTCCGACGCTGCTGATGCGGTGTTAACTCGATTCGGACCCCCTTGTCTGTTCGAGGTACACCTTGGCATCGACCCGGTGATCTCAGGTGAGATCGTAATGATAATTCCAACTCGGTTACGCTCCCTTTCGGTGAAACCTCTTCTGCAGCTAGAGTCCCTCAATAAGAAGTAGGATGCCCACCTGCACTGGAGCCGGCGGTGGCGGGGCAGCCAGCGGAGTGGTCTCCGGGGGACTCTCCAGGTCACGCCTGCTCACCTGATGACGTTGGACGGATGATTCCTGCTGGGACTGAACTTTGCACGACGCGACACTTCTTTTGGAAAGCCAATCCAATTACGGGGAACGGGAGCAATCTGACGAGTAGCCAATTAGAAGAAAGCCGGCGGTTCTCAAGAAGCCAGAGTGGCGTCAGACGTGTAGAACTCTGCGTGGATCGCCGAGAGCTGGTGCCGTCCAGGCCGAGCCGCCGGTACTCTTGCCCTCCGGTCATTCGCGGCCGTGCCTAATGCGATTGGGGTGTATGCAGCTGCTGTGCGGGGCTGGTAGGCCTCCAGTGGCCGGCGAAATGTGGCCGGCGGCTGCCGAGGTTTCTGGCCGGGACCTGCCACGTCACGCGGCCTCCCCTCCGTCCACGGGACGCTCTGCTGGGCCGGCTGCTGCTATGACGGTCTGGCCGGCCGGCAGTCTGCGACAGATCGGCATCGAGAGCCGGCCTTTACGCTCGGAGCGGTCTACATCAGTGGCGCTGTTGACGCCGCCCAGGCGATCTGGCCGGCCGGCAGCCTGCGACAGATCGGCACCGAGAGCCGGCCTTTACGCTCGGGGCGGTCTGCATGAGTGGCACTGTTGACGCCGCCCAGGCGATCTGGCCGGCCGGCAGCCTGCGACAGATCGGCACCGAGAGCCGGCCTTTACGCTCGGAGCGGTCTACATCAGTGGCGCTGTTGACGCCGCCCAGGCGGCGATGCGACGCCGGCTCGGCGCCCGTAACGCCGGCGTCGTCGAGCCTGGCGATCGCAGACCAAAGCCCAGTGATCCACGCCAAACACCCGGACTGGGATCGCTCAGGTGACAGCCGGCAGGCCGATCCAGATGCTGGAAGAGTCGGTTAGTGTTTCGAACGTGTTCTGTTGGCCGTGGTCATGACAGTAGTTTGTCGGCTTCCTTCCTACTACATTAACGATATTTTCGGCTGTAGTTATGAGTTTCTAAGTTCAAAAATCGCTTTCCAACGGGCGTGGTCGCCTTGACACGTCAAGTTTAATTTTACAACACGATCTGGGTCATTTACCATGCAACATTAGAAACGAGTCACTTACCTAAACATCGTATGCTGGCTGCTGTCTTTTCTTACATCCTGAGTCGCGCTTTTTATTTTATTTCGCCGTCCACGTATCTACGTATGGATGCGTAACGTACTGACTTCGGCTGTTGGAAAAAGATGATCACTTCTCGCGAACCTCGAAACATAGCTTCTCGCAACAGCTCGTTTGAATTACAACCGGCGGGTCCAAAACGGCGTGCGCAACAATAACCAGCTTGAATGTCGGACAAGAGTATACGACACAGCCGCAGCATCATCATTCAGCACGTTGAGTCCCCCAGCTTGACCTCATCTTGCAGACCCAATAGCAATTCCCTCCCTCGAACCACGCCCACTCTCCCAGCATGTGACTGCTGTTGAGCCCTCAGCGGGGTGCCCTGCTCGTAATTGCACCGAGTCTCCGGGCCGACGTGTGATTGGTCTCGGCGCGGCCGCGGTGCCGCCAGTCCGCGGCCGGTTGGGCGGCGCTCGCTTCCCATTGATCCCCGCCGCAGGCCGTTTAAAAGTTTGATCGCGATCGGTGCGTGCACGGGCTGAGAGGGCACGCGCCCGGCACGGGCCGGTGGGCGCCGCTCGAGCGATGTCGCAACCGGGCCCGACTGAGTCCGAGTCCAGCCGACGCGGAGTCAGCCGGCGACGCGACGCCGGCTGAGTGCTCTAGCTGGCGCCGGCTGGCTGGGCGCCCTGGTTGGCATCGGCTGTCTGAGTGCTCTGGCTGGTGTCGGCTGTCTGAGTGCCCTGGTCGGCATCAGTTGACTGAGTGCTCTGGCTGGCGTCAGCTGGATGAGTGCTCTGGCTGACGTCGGCTGGATGAGTGTTCTGGCTGGCGTCGGCTCGCTGAGCGCCCTGGTTGGCATTGGCTGACTGAATGCTCTGGCTGGCGTCGGCTGGCTGAGTGCCCTGGTCGACATCGACTGACTGAGTGCTCTGGCTGGTGTCGGCTGGATGAACGCCCTGTCTGGCGTCGGCTCGCTGGGTGTCCCGGCTGGCTGAGTGCTCTGGCTGACGTCGGCTCGCTGGGTGCTCTGGCTGGCGTCGGCTGGCTGAGTGCTCTGGTTGGCGCCGGCTGGTTGAGTGCCTGGCTGGCGTCGGCTGGCTGAGTGTCCTGGCTGGCGTCGGCTGGCTGGATTCTCTGGCTGGCGTCGTTCGACCGCCCCGCCGCACCGGCGCCGGGGAGAACGGCTCGGGGAGCGCCAAGAAGGTTGCCTCGCGCGCCTGTCGTATGGTATTGGCTCTAAGAAGTGCAGTGTTATGCACGGTGGTGCCTCCGTCACATTCCACTCCATTCAACACGAGTCCCTCCGTTAATTGGTTTGTTAGGCGTGCAGAGGTGCACGCCGTGACCAACGTAGACATTGAGCAGCTGCTTCGAATCACTTCTTCAATAGTAATCAGCAGTTGACACTGTACACTTCAATAGTAATCGGCAGTTGACACTGTACACTTCAATAGTAAGCAGCAGTTGACATTAGTCCGGATTGCCGTCCCGAACCGATTTCAGAGGCCACGGAAACATGTCTGTAGCTGGCGGAATGAGATTTCCTAACTGGATGTCGATGAAGATGCCAGTCCAGAGTGAAACAGCATATTTAGATGGCTGAGAAGTCAATATGACTTTTGGGACCGGAGCTAGGTGTCGATGGGAGCCTGGTGCTGATGGTGGGGCCAAATGCTGGTGATAGGAGCCTAGTGCTAGTATGGGAGCCTGGCGCCAGTGAGGTGAGTCTGGTGCTGGTGATAGGAGGTGCGTACTGGTGATGCGTATCCAGTGCTGGCCGTGGTGCCATTAAAGCGAGACTGGTGCTGATGGTGGTAGACTGGTGCTAGTAAGACGAGCCTGGTGCTGGTGGTGAGAGCCTGGTGCCGGTGGTGGATGTATGGTGCTGGTGATGGTGCATACTCACAGGCAGCTGTTTTGCTCCGTCGGATCTGATCACTGTGGATGACATGGAATGGAGGTAGTGCACGGGGTCTGCGAAATTGGAACGTGGATGCTTTGATCAAGGCAAGTCGCTCCTACGTTGTCCACAGTGAAATGAAATTGACTAGCAGTCTTGCTGAATAGCAGAGGTCGTTTATCTGTGCTCGTCCGCGTCGGCAAAGTTCTGCGTCGATGTAGAATAACTTGATTGCGGGTATGCCAATCTAAGGTGCCTGTTGCCATATTTAGATACCTATGACCGCTCTCACTAATACCCCCGCCCTTTGTGGGAAGGCAAGGCTATTTTGAGTAATGCAGGACGATAATTACATCGTGTTCGCTTTATTGCGAGATAAAAATACCCGGCCACGTCTGATTCGTACGGCCGGCCGTCCCGCCGTCGTGTCACCGGCTCCCGTTCGCGGAAGGACGAGACGCCGGGCGCTGATTGCACTCGCACGGCGGTGAGCGCGGCGCGCCGTCGTTTGCGTCTGCAGCCGTGCCCGGAGGCGGCCGGCTGCCGGGCGGCCCCAGCAGCGACGGCCACCGCGCCTTGCGAGTGCTGCCGGCGGTGCGGGGTCAGACCCGTCTCAATCATCTCGGCGTCGGACCGGGCCCCGTCGCATTAAGCCGGTCGGGCCGGGCCGACCTTTCGGCTGGAAGCGGCGCGCTTTATGACAGCATGCCGCCAGCAATCAGCCGCCCGACTGAGGTGCGCTGAAACAATCTAACTCGTAAAGCGGCGGCGCCCGTTATGATCTGTCGCCACTGCGCCGTCCGTAGGGGCGGCGGCGGCGGCGGCGACGCTGTGAATGACCTCCCGCTGATCGCTGACGACCGCCTGTGCATTACGGCGCTTGACGGGGGCAGGGCAGAGGTGGCGTCCCCACACGTTGCGCGTTGTTTTGAAGGCTCAGCGGCGTCGGGCGGTCTCTCGCCCCACCAGCGGTCAGCGGCGTCGGGCGGTCTCTCGCCCCACCAGTGGTCAGCGGCGGATCCGCCGGTGGGGGGAGCGAGAGTATCAACGCGCAGGGAACCGCTCCGCAATGTGGCCTGAAGCGGGCGTGAAACAGGGCACCGACGTGCGGCAGGTCGACTACGTACGCCAGCTACGGCCGCGGCAGCGACCCCATCCTGCCGGCGGTGCTCGAGTTCCGCGAGGAGACCGAAGACGCCTTTCTGCGCGCCGTCATCACCCAGCTGGACCCGAGCAGTCTACAGTTCAAGCTTGCGCCCACCTACACGCTCTACATGTCGGCCAGGTGAGGGCGCTGCACCAGCCGCCGCCCGCGAGCCTGACTGCCTGGTGAGAGCGGGTGAGTCTCGGGGGGGGGGGGGGGGCAGACAGTGTTGGCGGGGCGGCGGCGGCGTCTGCAGTGACGGCCGGTGGCGTTGTTGTGCGCCGACCACACTTGACGGTGTCCGAGGGAGCCAGCGTGGTGGGCGCTCCAGTCGGGCTGATTGCCAAGGAAGCGGCGGCGTGCACCCGTCCCGGCTCCGGGCCGCTGGTAATCAGCAGCGCCAGCCGCAGCCCCCCTCCAGCACCAGGCGACGCCGCGAAGACCTCGCCGCCGCCGCCGAGCCAGCGTGCGCACGCGTTGGCCGGCGCTCTGTTTGAGGGTTTCTGCTCGCTGTTGAGGGGCTCTACTGGCTGAGGACGCTTCACTGAGGGCGTGTGTAGGTGCCAACGCGCGAAAAGTGCTGCCTGACTGACCTTGCGTTCCGCTAGCCTCTTGGGCTGGCTAGCCGGCTAACCTTCACCGCGCGGAGATGTTCACCGCGCCGATGATGGTCGGCATTGTTGTGTTCATCTGTACCTACATGTATGCTTTTACTGAGTGTGCCTGCGCCGTTGTGCGTGCTCGAGAATTGCGGGCGCGCAGCCTGTGCCGCCCCGAGAGCGGAAGCGCGGCGCTCCGCGGCCGTCACCCCCGCGTGTTGCCTGGGGAGTCGCTGTCTGGCGTGGCTCGGGGCTCGCGTCGGGCGGCCTCCGCCGGCCCCTGCGCGGCCGCGTGCGTGACTGACTTGAGATGCCGGCTTCCGACAGGTTCCGTGCGAGCACCCACTACCGGAGCGAGCTGACGCCGGACGAGCGGGCCACCAAGCTGACTGAGGTGCTGGCCAAGGTGTCCGACATGGTGCACGACGTCATCGAGGTACAGCATCGTTTGGCTGGGGTAGACCCTCGCAAGCAGACTTTGCTGCATGCCTCTGTTCGAGCCGTAGGTGCTTCGGAACACGGATGTTCTCTCGTCTTGGTGGTTATTGGTGATGAAAAATCTGGCGGCCCGCCGATAAAGCACCTTGAGTTAAACGCATGCTGCGTACTCCCCTGGTCCACTCCGTATTTTTCATCTCGCAAAAAGTTGGCTTTTCACACCGTAATAAGTGTGCAAAGCTCCTGTCGTAGTGTGCGCCTTATGAGAAAAGAGTACGCGGTGCTGGTAATCTCATTGTGTTAACTTATCATTCAAAAGCGTTTTGGCCCGGGAAAGGATGCAAGGTGTGGCGGCGTTTTAAGGGTGGCGATATTTTGATTGATTAGAACCTGCTGGTGCTGAAAAGGTCTTTCTTGGAATCAAAAGTTTCTGCTTGCAGCAGGAAAATGAGGCAAGCGAGCGGCGTACGTAGGCGTAATTCCTTTAGGCGTAGGCGTAGTCCTTTACCACAAAGCCATGCCGTGTGCCGGCTAGGTTGTGGGCTGTTGTGTCGGTCGTGAGAGACGGTGCGTGATTGGGAGCACCGGTGGCACCAGACAGCCGGGGCCCTGACGTCGGTGCGGTACTGCAGCACTACACCCCGAAGCTGCCGCAGGCGTCTCACACTGGAAGGGCTTCGGCGTGCTGGGATTGATTTCGCCCAACCCGCGTGTTTTTGGTGTGCACGTTTTGTTGCTAGGTCTGTGCACGCACTGTTATGTTGGAAGCCACGGGTGGTATTACTTATCCTGACTCTGGTTTAAAGGGAGTGTTCTACATTTTTATGGGGGTTTGAACTGAAGTAGCCATCTTTGATCATTTGGTGTGGTTAAGAGCCCTGCTCCTCTTGAGACCTAAACCCCGTCTAATTTCTGAGCTACACGCCCGCGAAGAAAGGAAAACTATTTTGTGCAGGCTGTTTCAAGGCCATTCAGGCGTGCATGACGCCGTAGAAACGTCATCGAAACCCTGCCACCCCATTGGTTATGTGGCGTTCAAGGCCAATAAGAATATAATCGTCGTGTCGTTCACACCCAGCGTTCGTGAGCACGACTTCCACATGCAACGAACTTCTACTGGCTCTTAATCAATGTTGTGCAGGCTGTGCAAGATCCAAACACGACTCACGCTTTGTGCTGTATAATGCAAGAAGTCAGACGTCCGCACCAGTTTTTGCAGAAAATAGAGTTGTAATCGAACAACCTGAGAATAGCACCATAACCAAGTATGTGAATGTAGTTGAACACCTTAAACTGACGGATAAATATATAAGATCACCACGAAAAGGGACCATAGCACGAGCACATCACGATACTTGGTTCAACAAACACCTCCAGCACCGCCACGGTGCCATAGCCACCTCTTGGGACATTGAAGTACTGCAATTGAGTGCTAGGGTGGCAACTTCGCACGGCTAGTTTAGCGGCACATCAAGGTCATTCAAATGTGCCATGACGTTATCAAACAATGACGCACTGGGAAGCATATTAACAAAGCATAGGAATGAAGCGTTTAGACCAGTCTACACTTGAAAGGATATTTAAAGTTTTAAGTGAGATTATTTTAGTGTATCTTATGCCTGCTTCAATGTCTTCAAATGTTGAACATGCGCTTTAAGCTATGCGTGAGCTATCGTTGATAAGGCGTTCCCACCCTAAAGGACTGTGAATGGTGACTCTGTGACGGGCTTGTCTCAAGCCAGGCTCGTCCGCCTGCCTCCTGCCCGCCGTCAAAACTGGTCCCTGTCGCCTGGTCGTCGCAGCGCCGTTCCAACATTGGTCCGAGCACTTGTCACGGCACCTCGTGACTCCCTCCCCGCTACTCTCCAGAGCCGGCGGCTTAACGCCAATGCGCTGGCCTTCTGGATGGCCAACGCGTCCGAGTACCTGCACTTCCTGAAGCAGGACCGCCACGTCAGTCCGTACAGCCAGCTGGCGCAGGACATCCTGGCCGAGGCGGTGCAGGCGGCCTTCAGGTGCGTGTGGCGGCCGGCGCCGGCGGCCGGCGCGCCCGCCCCCTCGGCCTGGCTCGGCCCGGCGTCTCGGCCGTGACGCCCGGGCCGCCCGAGGCGCCCGGGCACAAGCCTGTGTCGCGTCGCTGGGCGGTGGCGGCTACCGCAGTCTGGCTTCGACTGCCGGCACTGGTAGCCGGCCGGCTGGGCCGACGGCATGTGGCCCGGCTCGGCGAGCGGGTTGGAGCGGCGTGATCCGCGTGGCCCACCTGCTGCCGGGCCGGGGCCGCCGCTCGGTCACGTACGCGGCCGGACGCCGTGGAGGGCGGCCGCGCCCACGGGCGCCGCGTGGGCCGGTCCCGATTGGAAGTCGACCCACGAGCTGGCCAGCCGGTAAATTGTCTTGATTGAACCCCGTCGAGTGCGGGCAAGTGGCCGTGGAATGCGCCGTGTAGGCTGCTCCATTCCCTGGCAATTTGGAATAGTAAGGTGCGCGATCTCATGGCAAACGAGCCAAGAGCTGAGTGCGGTAGGGTGGGCGTGTGGTCGTCAAGAGCATGGTTGTCCCGGCACAGCTGTCTTTCGCGTCCCTTGAACAGGAGACCCTCGGCAGGTACCTGGTGGACAGCGTACAGGCCGAACTGGTGAGCTCCATCAGCCTCTTCCTGGAGGACCGCGACGACGCTAACGAGGAGGAAGGAACCACGGCTGAGGTATGCCCGGCGGGCCGGTCTGGTGTGCCGAGCCCGGCCAGTGGGGTTGGGGGTTGACTATATTTATTTATCTTGCTACGAATCAGTCGATGGAATGCCAATTGAACATCCACATTTTTCGGATTTTGATGCACGTGCATGCGTGGCATTTTTGTATCCGCGAATGTAGCTCTGTCATTAGCAGCTCGGTCCGAGCGGCCTTGTCCGGGCTATATGCCCTCACCGGTCTTCGGGGCGTGTGAGCATAAGCTCTCACTGGTCTTACCAGCGTGTGAGCATATGTTCTCACCGGTCATCAGGGCGCTGTTACCCATCGGTGCGCCGTCTCTTCAGTATCTGTACGCTCTCGTCCATGTGCTCCGTCAGTGTCACGTGCGTCCCCCCTCCCCTCTCTCCAGGTGCTGAGCATACTCGGCAACACCATGGCCCTGCTGCGCCGCTGCCGCGTTAACGCGGCGCTGACCATCCAGCTGTTCTCGCAGCTCTTCCACTACATTAACATGAGTGTCTTCAACCGCATTGTCTCTTCCGGGCCAGTCAACTACTGTAGCAGGTGAGTGCTCGGCCGGGGTGCGCAGCCTTCGGGGAGACGCAGCGGGGATGGCAGGGGAAGGGGCGCAGAAGCCACCCGTGTTCGCACCAAAACGCGACGCGGAGTACAGCGGCAGTGGAGGAAGCCTTACCGGGCACACAAGGCGTTTAAAGGCAACGTGTTCGACACTAGGTGTCAGACAGGAGAGGATGGGATTGTGAAGCCGACCGAGGGCGGTGGCCGGCCGCCGCTCCGGTGTGGGCTGCCGGGGCCGGCGCTCCGGCGTCGGCTGCCGGAGCCGCCGCCCCGGTGTCGGCTGCCCGGGCCGCCGCTTCGGTGTCGGCTGCCGGGGCCGGCGCTTCGGTGTCGGCTGCCGGAGCCGCCGCCCCGGTGTCGGCTGCCTGGGCCGCCGCTCCGGTGTCGGCTGCCCGGGCCGCCGCCCCGGTGTCGGCTGCCCGGGCCGCCGCTCCGGTGTCGGCTGCCGGGGCCGGCTCTCCGGTGTCGGCTGCCCGGGCCGCCGCTCCGGTGTCGGCTGCCGGGGCCGGCGCTCCGGTGTCGGCTACCGGGGCCGCCGCTCCGGTGTCGGCTGCCGGGGCCGCCGCCCGCGAAGACGCGCTCCGCTGTTACCGTCCGGCCGGATGGGACGCCGCGCGGCGCCCTGCCGCCGATCGAAGCGTCGCGGCGCAGATATTGGCTCGCACCGATCGGGCGCGCAATTATTCAGCGCTAGTGGCTGTTTGTGCGGCTCGGCCGGCGCCGGCTCCGCGGGCGGCTGGAGCCCGGCCGGCGCCGGTCACCGGGGGCGAGGACCGGCCGCGCGCCGACAGCCGCGCGTCCAAGGCGCCTCGGTCGGCGCCAGGTCCAGCCCGGCTGGCCGGCGCTTAGGTCAGAAGGCTCGACCACTTGGCAGGCGTCGGAGGGGAAGCGGTCGTGGCAGCACAGGGCAGATAGTGCAACGCCGCCCACGCGGGGCCCCTGCCGAGTGAGGGCTGTTTGCTGCGAATAATCGCTTGTACAGTCTACCTGTAGCACGATCTCGCGGCGACGCTGCTTCCCGAAGGTCTTTAATGAGATCTTTTCCACTGCGGTGGACCGCTTCATTGCCTACTTCTCTGAAGCCGTGGTAATGATTAACTTATGTAGCAATCGCCGCGCCCCGCGCACGCGCGCATGCATGCTCATATGCATGCACGCACGCACGCACGCACGCACGCATGCACGCACGAAGCTGGCGCGGCATGCGATGGGCCGGTGTGGTTCGCCATGTCATCAACCGGCGTGCGGAGAGATGGCTGGGAGTGGCGGCCTTCGTCCGAGACGAGGCACCGGGGCGGGCGACGTCGGTGGCTGTGTCGTGGCATGCATGACCCCAGCTGGTCGGAATGCTGCTCGTCAGAGGCCGCATCTCAGACGTGCTGAAAGCCAGGGAGCCATTTGCAGATTACAGTCGGCCGGTGCGGGAGCAATGCTGGCCATCAGGTCCATTACATCGCTGGAGTCCGGTCGCACTGTTATGGCCCACGGTGGTGAAAGTCTCTCTATATGACCGATCTCAGCGGCCAGTAAGTTGCGGCGCGCATGTGAGAACGAGCTTTTTCTGGGTCCGAAAGCTGAGTGTTGTTACGGGTGGACCTGAGGAAGACGTCCATCTTTTGCATGTGTGAGGGAAAGGGATGGGGATAGCAAGGGAGGTGAGCACAAGGGTGCTGAATGATTCGTAAGCTTGTGCGGCGTTAGCTGAGAAATCGCCACGAGAACACGAACCGCGTGGTGCTTCCTTAGTATTCCTCGCGATCGACTTCATCAACTTTGAAAGAAATCTTCTCGGCAAATCAGCCATATGGTGGTTGACATCGAATGATGGCCGGCCGGCTGCTGAGTGACGTTGAATAATGGCCGGCCGGCTGCTGATGGACATCGGGCGATGGCCGGCCGGCTGCTGGGGGACGTCGAGTGATGGCCGGCCGGCTGCTGGGGGACGTCGAGTGATGGCCGGCCGGCTGCTGGGAGACGTCGAGTGATGGCCGGCCGGCTGCTGATGGACATCGGGTGATGGCCGGCGGGCTGCTGGGGGACGTCGAGTGATGGCCGGCCGGCTGCTGGGGGATGTTGGGTGATGGCCGGCCGGCTGCTGGGGGACGTCGAATGATGGCCGGCCGGCTGCTCCCCTCGCTGTGTGTTGAACCGCGGCCAGCTGCCAGACACACCTGCTGGTGTGCTGGACCTGCGCATGGGGCTTGTTAGCTCGTGCTAGGCGTATGTGACACTCTTGATAGCACGCCTGTCAGGGACGGTGGGGCCGTGGACGGCTGCGTGCGGCGAAGCACGTTGACGGCAGTGTGACGTTGCAGTTTGTGCGGTTCCACGTAGTCAGCGAGCTCAGCCGACTGACGCCGGCCTCGTGTCAGATAGCATGCCTGTCCGACACCTTGTGTCAAGCTGACGGACACGCAGCCTTGGCTCAAGTCCGACTCAGTCACACAGACGCCTGTCTCGAGATCTGCGCTGATGCGGCTCCTCTGATATCAACGCGTTCGCGTCGGCTCGGGGCGGCCCCTGTGTGGACCCCCTGCCGCGCCCCCTGTGTGCCCCTCCTGACGTAGCCCCTGTATGCCCCGCCCCCCTCCCCATGACGCGGCCGTGTGTGGGCGGCCCCTGACGCGGTGTGCCGTGCGCCGCAGGTTGTGGGGCGTGCGTCTGAAGCGACGCCTCAGCCGGATAGAGCTGTGGGCCGACCGGCAGGGCTTGGAGCTGGCGGCCGACTGCCACCTGGGCCGCATCGTGCAGGCCGCCCACCTGCTGACGGTACGTTCCCGGCTCCAACACCGCCGAGCCCCACCCAACAGCGCGCGGCGTGGGGGCCGCCACCAGCTGGCACTGGGCCGGAGATAATCTGACGACGGGAATATAACGCACTGAATCGACTCTGCCCGAGCCACCCAACGCTGACGTCCCGTGACAAAGCCTTGTGTCACCACGCCTGCGTCAGAGATGCTCCAGTGTCAATGGGCCATGTGTGATCAGGTGCGACATATATATACATAGCCAAAATAGTTATGCATTTCTCTCTCTCTCTCTCTCTCTCTCTCTCTCTCTCTCTCTCTCTCTCTCTCTCTCTCTCTCTCTCTCTCTCTCTCTCTCTCCTCTCTCTCTCTCTCTCTCTCTCTCCTCTCTCTCTCTCTCTCTCTCTCTCTCTCTCTCCTCTCTCTCTCTCTCTCTCTCTCTCTCTCTCTCTCTCTCTCTCTCTCTCTCTCTCTCCTCTCTCTCTCTCTCTCTCTCTCTCTCTCTCTCTCTCTCTCTCCTCTCTCTCTCTCTCTCTCTCTCTCTCTCTCTCTCTCTCTCTCTCTCTCTCTCTCTCTCTCTCTCTCTCTCTCTCTCTCTCTCTCTCTCTCTCTCTCTCTCTCTCTCTCTCTCGCTCTCTCGCTCTCTCGCTCTCTCGCTCTCTCGCTCTCTCTCTCTCTCTCTCTCTCTCTCTCTCTCTCGCTCTCTCCCCGAAATATTCACCCAGGAAATAGTCTATCGATTTCTCTCTTTCCCTCGTTATTCAACGAGCAAATCATCTAGCAATGCTCTCTTATGTATGCGTATGTTTCTCGCAGCTGCACTGAACAACTTACGCAAGTTAGAAACAAGGGCTTCCCCGAACGCCTCCAGCCTCCAGATGCATGTGCTGGTGTGTTGGAGCAGCCCACAGCCCCTGCTAGGAAAGTTATTAGCAAGGAAGTGGCAGAAACAATGTGGATAACCTTATCTGCCAGTATACCACACTGAGGTGGCTGAATTGGCTGCAGCCGTTTACGGGCACCCAAGTCGGTGTTGCCCCAACCACTTGGCGCGCCCCTTCTTGTCGTTGCCCACGCGATTGCTCCCATAACACCGTTTGGTACTGGTCCGTCACCTCCGTCGTCACCTCCGTCGTGACGGCTGTCCGGTGGCGCGACAGGCACCCAAGGCGACCGTGGAGGACCTGAGCGTGGTCACCAGCTCCTGCTACCGACTGAATTCGCTGCAGCTGCGCGCGCTGCTCGGCCGGTACCGGCCCGGCCGCGACGAGCCCTCCATCGCGCCAGAGATCATCGAGAACATCGTACGGGTCAGTGACGGCCGGCGAGAGGCCGGCGGCGGCTACAGCCCATCCGGTTGGAACGGTCAGCAGGTTGCAGAGGACCAGTGCAGTTGACGCGTCCTGGCACCCAGCAACGAACTACAGAAACCGAGACGTAGCAGGCAGTAGTTCCGGGGGAGCGGCCAGCGAGGGGAGGGCGACCCCTCCCCGCTGCAGCGGCCGTGAGCCGCGGCGGCGCCGGGGCTCACGGCCGGAGGGAAGGGCGACCTGCCCCGCTGCAGCGGCCGTGAGCCACAGCGGCGCCGGGGCAACTGCTAGAGCGGGTAGTCGTCGGGGCGGCCTGTGAGCGCGGTGTGCCCGGCTGTGTCGGCAGATGGCCGAAGGCACCTCTGACGAGCTGGCGCGCCAGGATGGCCGCCAGGTGCGGCTGGAGGAGGAGCGCCACCTGCAGCTGCCCTTCCTGCTGCCCGAGGACGGCTACTCGTGTGACATCGTCCGCGGCATCCCCAACGGTGGGTCGGCGTCTAGACAGGCTCGCGCCTTCCCGGCGCCGTCACCGCGTAACGCACCACAAGGCGGATGGTGACGCTCGGTCGTGACAGATTGCGATGGTTGCGATGGATGGTTGATTGCGATGGTTGTACTGAGATGAGTGGCATTTAGAGTGCTGTGTGCATCGGAGATGTGGGTTGAGGCAGTAGGAGGGCCTGCTCGGATGCTCGGTCGTCCTGGCCTCTTTTGCGTGGCGAATGGTGGCAGCGCTGGGGAGCTCTATTGGATGGGCTTTGGAATGGATGCCGAGAGCGTGCTCATGCTAAGATGGCGCCGTCGATTCGCTATCAGATGGTGCGCTCAGACGTATTTCGACTTCGAATGGGCCGTGTGCGAGCGTTAGGAGCGATCCAACGGGCTGGCGGCGGCGGCGGTTTCGCTGGCGCCCGGCCTTACGACACCCGTGCCGCTCGTGTACTCGAGCGTGCCTAGCAGTTCGCGTCGAGTGGGAGCCGCCGTCTGCCAGCGGCGGTCGCCGACGGCCGTGCTTGCAGGGGCCGCGTCCGTGTGTCGGTTGTGCCGCGTGTGACCCGCTCGGCGCGCGCGCCAGGTCTGGCCGAGTTCATCGCGCCGCTGCAGCACGCCGGCCTGGCCCGCATGAACGAGCAGCCCACCAGCTGGGGCTATTGGACCATCTACATGACCGACCAGGACCTCAGCAAGCTGCAGGTAGGCGGGCGGCGGCGGCCGGCCGGCCCTCGGACGCGGCACGTCGTCCGTGGGGCATGCTGCTGAGGAAGCCGCGTGTCATTGCTGTACTGTGTTAGCAGTGGGGCAGCGGCGGGCGGGGCGGAGCGTCAATGCAGGACGTGTTCTGGTAACGATGATGCGCGAGTGTCATCCATCCTCGCGAAAAGAGATATTTCGATTCGCCCCGTGACGACCCGTGGGCCGGTTCTCTTACATTTGGTCGCCTACGGCGGTTACCGCGGGATGTCGCCTTCCCGGCATGCTTCCTAACGAGGCCGTGAAACCCCTACTCTGTCAGCCTGGCACCTCCGCGCCGGAGATCCCGCTCCCTCAAAAGTGCTCCGGTACTCGCCGCCGGCTCGCATCCGGCGCTGATGAATGGCCACCTTATTCCCAGTCGCTGCACGCGCGCCGAACGGTTGGCATTACTTAAGTTGTGTCGCTGTGCTGGCGTTCACATTCAAATGTCTTCCTTGACGTGTTGGATGCTTATTAGGCTGATTTCATCCACGTTTACAACACTTCCCGGTGTTTTAAACATATGTCGATGCATTGCCAGGGCGTAGGTATTCAGCTGCGTTCTTGCCGTTGAATGGTAGCCGTTGTGTAGAGGGTCGTGATGGTCCCAGTGTGGAGGAAATAAGACAGAGGTGTAAAGTGTTCAATATAGGTGTAGACCTAAGCAACATTGGTAGTCACGACATGACGACTTCTTAAATGGTTTCCAGCTTTGTTTAATACGTAGGTATGGATACATTTGTAAGATCTCCAGATCAAATCCGAGCTAAAGTTGCCAAGTCTGGTATGTACCAACTTTCATGTTATTCCAAGATAAATGTCAGGTTATCGCTGGATGGCTGGCAAGCGGCACAGCTTTAGCTGGATGTGATTTCGATCGCGATTGTTCGAGGAGTTCTGTGAGCCTGTGTCACCGCCGGTGTCGGTCCGCCGGCGCTGACCGCTCCGCTGTTGTGTGGATAGCCCCGCAGCCCGTCGGCGCTCTCGGTCCGCTCTTTGGCCGGCGTGGCGCCCTTCTCCGAGCCGGCCGTGCAGCAGATCCGGCTCCACAAGACGGCCACCGGCATGGGACTCAGCATCGTGGCCGCCAAGGTGAGGCCCCGAGCCGCCCTCCAGCCAGCCGGCGCGCGCTCTCGGGTCGGATGGGAGGTGCCGCTCGAGCTGCCCTTCAGCCAGCCGGCGCGCGCTCTCGGGTCGGCGCCAAGGTGAGGCCTCGAGCCGTCCTCCAGCCAGCCGGCGCGTGCTCTCGTGTCGGATGGGAGGTGCCGCTCGAGCCGCCCTTCGGCCAGCCGGCGCGCGCTCTCGGGTCGGATGGGAGGTGCCGCTCGAGCCGCCCTTCAGCCAGCCGGCGCACGCTCTCGGGTCGGCGCCAAGGTGACGCCTTCGAACGCCGTCCCTTCCAGCCAGCCGGCGCGCTGCTCTCGTGTTCGGCTGCCAAGGTGCGGCCTCGAGCACGTTCCCTCCAGCCTAGCCGGACGCGGCCGCTCATCGAGTTCGGGTGGGAGGTGCCGCTCGAGCCGCCCTTCGGCCAGCCGGCGCGCGCTCTCGGGTCGGGTGGGAGGTGCCTCTCGAGCCGCCCTTCAGCCAGCCGGCGCGCGCTCTCGGGTCGGGTGGGAGGTGCCGCTCGAGCCGCCCTTCAGCCAGCCGGCGCACGCTCTCGGTCGTGGCCGCCAAGGTGAGGCCTCGAGCCGCCCTCCAGCCACCGGGCGCGCGCTCTCGGGTCGGGCTGGAGGTGCCGATGTGGTGCCGGCGGCGGCCAGAGTGCGGCGCCGGCCGTGCTGCTCGTGCTGTCGGCGCTCTCCGGGCGCTTCGGCCCGGTGCCGGTATCTGAGCCTGTCCCCGCCGGAGTGGTGTGGTGTGGACGTCGGCAGGGCAGCAGGTCTGATTTCTGTGGATGGGTGGGTTCCAAGTGTGGAGGCCTATGCGATAGTTGGGTTTGGAATGCAAGCCTGACAGAGATGAGGATGGGAATAATGCTTACTTACCTTAATGCGACAGCTTACCTCGGTAGCATGTGCTGCATTAGCTGCGTTTACCATTTTTCATCTCTATCACACAAAGCAAATGTCATTCCGGTTAATGAGAGTATTTCGCCGGGTGTCAGTGGCGATTGACCGAAAAGGGCAGAATCGGGTGCACTTGATGCGGCCTGTCTGCGGGCCATGTCTGCGTTCTGGCCGGCCCTGTGTGCCGACTGGGCCCACTACAGCGTGCGGCGCGTGCCTCGGTCGGCCAGGGCGTGGGTCTGGAGCGGCCCGGCATCTACATCAAGTCGGTGGTGCGGGGCGGTGCGGCGGACCTGGACGGGCGACTAGCGGCCGGCGACCAGCTCTGCCAGGTGGACGCCCACAGCCTGATCGGCGTGACTCAGGAGCAGTGAGTGACTGGCCGCTGCTGGCCCGCGCCGCCGGCGCAAGGTCCAGCCCAGTGTGGCGGCGCGCCGTCTGCTCCCGGCAGTCTCACGGGTGACGCCGTGCATGGGACGCCACCGTGCGCAGATCCGTGCGTGTTAGCTGCCAGGTCATGTGAAGCATCGATACGTGCTCTCGTCGGGATGTGAACTGGGAGCGTGCGCCGGTCAGCTATGAGCAGTGCTGTCTCCGGAGCGTGACGGCAGCCCGTCGTGCCGTGGGTACTGTCGTCGTGCGCCACCCTGCTGTCGTCTGGACGGCTGCGGCCGCGTGGCCGCGCGGCGGCGCCGACGCTGAGCCGACCGCGCGCCGTTCGCCAGGGCGGCCGAGTACATGATGCGCACCGGTCCGGTGGTGAACCTGCGCGTGGCCAAGCAGGCGGCCGCCTACCACGGCCTGACCTCTCTGCTGTCGCAGCCGTCGCCGGTCATGGCGCGAGGTCAGTGGCTATCTGGCGGCTCACGTCGACGGGTGGATGCCCCGGTCCCGGCCGGTGGAGGTTGGGGTCCCCTCCGCTCTGCGCGTCCGGGAGGGTCGTGGTGCGGTGGAAGATACGGATAACCTTCGGCATGCGCTTGTGAGCTGTGGCGAAAGGCCTCCCTGACTCTCTGGCTTTTGTGCTTGTCGTGGTTGAGGGTATGACTATGATATCTTCCGCGTGTGCTCCTGCTCTGGGGTAAGGTCTTACTCACCCCTCTGTACATGCTGTTTGTGTTGTTGCATTGGAATGTCTGACTAACCTTCCGCAAGTGCTCCCCGTGTTCTGGTGGAAGATCTGACTAACTATCGCCACCCATGTCGCGGCCGAAGGACGCCCGCCGTCGCCGACTGGCCGTCTGCTTGACCAGCTGGGGTTTGACCGGTTTGTGGGCCTGCCGGCGTCGCCGCCGCTGCTCTGCTCGCCGGACGTGTCCTCGCCGCACCGCCATTCGCCCGACCGGCGGCTCTCACATCCGGGCACGGGCGGCGCCGGCCGCGCCGACGGCCGGCGCGCCTCGCAGCCCTGCGTCGTCGTAGACGAGGCGGACGACGGGTGTGAACAGCTCGCCGCAGCCGGGCCGTCGCTCGCCGCGCGCCACGTGCCTCACCTCTACACCAGCAACGCCTCGCTCGACACGGACTGTGACGGGCAGGAGACCGGCGGCGGCGGCGGCGGTGGTGTGCTGCCCGTCCCCGGCTGGCCAGCCAGCTCGGGTGGCAGCGTCGCGGCGGCCGCGGGGTCGCACGCCGTCGGCACCGCGCCGCGGGTCGTGCCCCAGCCGCGCCCCGACAGCTCCAGCTCGGCCCACTCCGGTCAGCCGCGCGCCGGCGAGCATCGCACGGCCGCCGCCCTGCCCCATGCCTACGCCACCGGCAATCCGCGTGTCTACACTGGCAGCGACTCGCAGTCGCACGCGGGCGGCGCCGCCCGGCGCGTCGCCTCCGCGTGCTACGCGGCCAGTGGCGCGCCGCTGGTGCCGCGTGCCAGCGGCGCGAGGGCGGCGACGCCGGCGGCCGGCAGTCCGCCGAGCCCGGGCGCGCCGGACACAGTCGTCCGGCAGCCCGGCGGAGACGGCGCGCCGGCCGGGCCGGCGGCGGCCGGCCGCCAGCCTGCAGCGCGCCCGGCTGGCCCGCTCCTGCCCGGAGCTCAGCGAGAGTGACGGCAGTCCTGAGCCGCGCCGGCGGCACCGGCCGCTGCGCGGCATACTGAAGACAACGCGTCAGAACAGTGAGCGCCGCCCGCCAGCGCGTCCGTCACTGGACGCCGCATGACAGGACCGAGGCGGCGCCGCGGCACGGCGTCGGCCGGTCTCTTTGTGCAGCACGCTGTGTGGTTGTTGACCTGGACCTGGCCGGATGGAGACGGCGCGCTTGTTGTACCGCTTGTTTCGTTTTTGTTGCTCTGTTGCCGTGAGAAACGTTTCGTTTACTTGATGCAGCGTAGTCGTGTGGAATGATGCCATGTTTCTTTACCCCTATAGAGACTGATCCTTGTTTTATATCGTACGAGTCCCATAATTTTGTATCATATGTATCGGTGTATTTGCAGGTAATGCGTTTGTTTACGTAGCTGTTTTATGTTGGACTTGCCTTACCAGCAGCACTGGTCGCCTGCTATGCGCATGCTAAAGGCGTGTATCTGATGACAAGTTTCAGTTTGGCATGCGTAAGCGTGCTAGATGTGCTGTTTTTCCGAGCACTCACAAACAACTGTATTTCTGTATCGTCAATTTATTGGTATATTCAGCACTGCTGCCCGATTTAGCGTCCGCGCTATAGGTATCGACTGTGAATGTTGAGGCGGGGGCTACATTTTCTGCACGCCAGTGCATCAAGGAGTCGTATAATTTACTGATGTTTGTCAGCGCTGCTCTCCGGCTCCGCGCGCGTGTGCGTGCCCAGTCCCGTCATCGCCCCACGGTCTGCCCAGCGCTGCTTGGACGGTGTTGACGGCGGCTCCGTCGGCGTTGCGGTGCGTGGCCAGCGTCCGTGTGTGGGCGCCGCTGACGCCGTCTCTCCCCGCCGCAGGCGTGCAGCGGGCCAGCGGGCGGGATGCCGCCCGGTCGCCGGCGTGTGGCCGGCGTCCGCGTGTGTGCGCCGCTGACGCCGTCTCTCCCCGCCACAGGCGTGCAGCGGGCCAGCGGGCGGGATGCCGCCCGGTCGCCGGCGTGTGGCCGGCGTCCGCGTGTGTGCGCCGCTGACGCCGTCTCTCCCCGCCGCAGGCGTGCAGCGGGCCAGCGGGGGGGGGGGGGATGCCGCCCGGTCGCCGGCGTGTGGCCGGCGGCCGCGTGTGTGGGCGCCGCTGACGCCGTCTCTCCCCGCCACAGGCGTGCAGCGGGCCAGCGGACGGGACGCCGCCCGGTCGCCGGCCAGGATCCAGCCCTCCAAGTCGGTGCCGTCGCTCAGCTGTAAGCACGGGCGCCCGCCGCGGCGCCGGGGCGCTGACGCCATTGGGTCCGCCTCGCAGTGGCGGGGCGACGGGATTAGGCTCCAGGGTCGTGACGGGTTTTCCCGCCTCCGAAGCTCTCCTTGTTTGAAAGTACGGCCGTCCCGGTCATTCCAAATGCATTGGAGCGCTGCCAGACCGCAGTTACTTTGAGATTGGTGCCTTCGGAGTGGCTTCATTTTGAACGCGGCGAAACTTTCCAGGCGAGGAAATTAATAATGCTGTCCCGCGTTTGCTCCCTTTGACCGCCCACTCATCGACCGAGGCTGGAATGAAGGGATGTGCAGTGGGCATAATTTCTGAGATATGCGTTTTAAATGCATTAATTTGTCTCCGCTCCCTCGCTTTGCAGTTCCCGGAAATATACCGAGGTGACATACAGTCCTTCCCTCTCTTGATAGCCCCGCAGATCAAACGATGACGCTTGCTAGAGTTTGACGTGCATTAATGTACGCGCGAACCTCTAGGTGGGAGACGTGACTTACTGAAGTGTAGAGAGAGGCGACGTGATTATTACTGTATCGTGAGCATTAGCGTCTCGGCCGTGCAAGTGTATTGAATAAGCGTTTTCTGAGCAACGCTAGGACTAGATGACTAACACGTTAGGAGATAGACGGTTTGAGGTACAGGATGAGGGGCCTGAGAAGAGGTGGCCTCGCGGAGGCTCCCCCAACAGACTGGGGCTGGAGAAGCTACGAACGTCTAACATATAGTAAGCCACGGTCCAAGAAAGAGTACCAGACCGCGTCTTATCGCATGCTGCTGCGCCCGCCTTGTGTCGTGTCATGACGCTGCCAGTACTGCGTGTAGGGATGATGTCTGTCACGGTCGAATCACCAGTGTAAGAGCTGTGTGGTACATCTGCCAGTTGCGGGTGCAGTGTATCTGTGTGCCGCGGCTGACCCGTGCCTCGCCGGCAGCGGGCGCCGGCCCTGGTGAGCTGTCGCCGGTGCGCAGGCCCGAGCCGCGGCCCGTCGGAGCGGCGCCGGTCAGCCCTGCCGGCCGGCCCAGCCGCTCGCGATCCGAACAGAGCCTGCTGCCGGCGGCGACGGCGGCGACGGCGGCGCATTACCGGCAGCCGGAGCCGGTGACGCCGGCCCAGTACCAGTACCACCCGCCGCAGACGCCGCCTCAGGTCAGCGCGGCGCCCCCGCCCGCCGCGCCGGCCACGTCTGCGGTCAGAGCGAGCGCGTCCCACTGTCCACGGCAGGTCCCAGCGCCGTTGGCGGTGCCTGGGGCCGGCTGTCGCTGTGCCCCCGTTTCATGGTGTATGGCGCCGCCAATGCTGTGTCAGCGCACCGCCAGCGCCGCTGGTGACGGACGCGGTCTGTCGACAGATGGCGATGGCCCGGTCCGTGTCGGAGCACGACCACCTGCGCTACCTGCCGCCGGAGAACAACAGTCACAACAATCTGCTGCTGCGGCACGGCACGCCTGCGCAGACGCCCGAGCGGCCCGGCCCTGCCAGACAGAACGGGGTACGGCTCCGGGCCATCTAGGCGCGGGGCTCCGGCACTGGGCCACGTGGGTTGGCTGGGGTGGCGGTGAGACGGTGCAGGGTGCTGTCCATGTACTGTCTTTACTGAGGAAAGGTGAGAGGCCTGTCGGCAGCGTGATGGGGTTGTCCACGTTCTCCCAACTGTTGTGACCCTGCTGGGGCGAAGGCGCCTCGCGAGCTTAGCAGCCGTGAATGCGCCGTGTGTGGGTGTGCAGTGCCACCGCCCGAGTGGAGCGGCGGACGAGACGGCCTCCGCCCACCGCCGGCCGCGGGTCCGTGTCGGCGCCCGCCGCCCGTCGCGTGTCCGTGTCCGTGTCGGCGCCCGCCGCCCGTCGCCGGCTGTGCTCCGCTGACGCCGACGCCCGCCGCCGGCAGGTGGCGGCCGAGCCGGGTCTGGACGGCCGACAGCTGGAGATGCGGCGAATGCAGCAGGAGCTGGAGGCGGCGCGCGCCGCCGAACAGCGCCTGCTGCAGGAGGCGCAGCGGCGCCAGCTGCAGGAGCGCGCCGGCCAGCGCCTGGACGCCGTGCTGCAGACGCCGCCGCCGCCGCCTCCCGTGCGCTCCGTGTCGTACTCGGTGATGGCGGCGGCCGGCGCGCCGCTGCCCAACGGCCAGCCGGCCGGCCGCCGCGTGCAGTTCAGCGAGCCGACGCCGCCGCCGCCGGCCGCCGAGCCAGCGCTGGAGTCGGAGTCGCAGCCAGAGCCCAGTCGCACCACTCTGAATGTGGTCTCGACGCCCGGCGTGATCGGCGCCCAGGAGGTGTACCGGTGAGTCGCACACGCCGCGGCCCCCGCCGCCAGGGGAGGGGCCGAGCTGGTGTGGCAAATGACGCTGACCGGGCCCCAATTAACCAATCTCTGTCAGAGTTTCTCACTAGGCAATCAATTCCTGCACAGTAGATGGCAACACTCCTTGGATCGGACGGCAAGCGACAAACTCATGGCCTTAACGCAGTTGGGTTTGTGGCCATGTCGCTATCACAAAATGAGAAGGGAGGAGGTGACTCTCTGTAGGTGGCTTATTGGCCCTGCGTATGAGACCCACGGCTGTTTGCTGTGCCCGGCCGGGAGGTATCTGTGGCTTCCGTGTGGCGCTTACCTCACAGTATACCGCGTGTTCTACGCGTGTCTCCCCTTGCAGAAGAACCGCTGCGGCGATTTGGACACCCTGCTCCGTACTGAACCCTATGTGCTATCCCGGTGGACAGCTCTGTCTTCCCTGAAGCGAAACAGCTGCTCTCGTTTGTAGGAGGCAATCCCTAGTATTTATACGGTTCACTGGGCAAATAGGCACATCGCTATGGGCACAATTAGCTATCTTACGGTCCCCGCTCGCTTGCCGCGTCGGGGCGGGGGGGGGGCGGTTCCTCAAACTTGCGCATCCATACCGCACGGCCGGGGGGAGGGAAGCCCGGAGCTAAAGCCGCTGGCCGAGCCGTGTGTCGCCTCCTGCGTGCGGAGAGGACTGCGAGGCAGCCTGTTCGCTCCGCCGTCGGTTGGTGTCGAGACTTCCCGCAGCTGCCGGACCCACCCTGGACTGTGTCGCGGTTGGCCGTGCAAACCTGCGTGCCTCGCGCCGCCTGGCTCACTGGTGGCACCCCGGCCCACTCGTGCTGCCTGGTAAGGCCGACTGGATGCGCGCCGTCGGCCTTACCAGCTCTGCCCACGAGTGGGCCAGTGCTTGCTGATGCCAGATGTGTGGGGGCGGGCGCGCGCTCGTGGTCTGTTGTTTGTCACCCCGTGGAGCGAGTGTGCACAGCGCCGGCTATCGTTGATCGGTCTGCTTTGCTGCCGTGTGAACGGCGTTGTGTTGTTGCTGCACCATTTGCCGCATGCCTGGCTCGTTTCGATGCAGGCACACGAAAGCTGTGTTGCGGGTGGGTTGCCGAGTTCTGCTCGATGCAGCTGTGCCCTCGGTATTGCGTGCCCCAAGCAGGGTTGGTATTTCATCCAGTTAAAACCAGGTTCTGCCACTATCTGTGTTAACCGCTAAAGAGGTATTAAAAAGGGGAAGTTAGAAAGCCGCAATGTCCTTCTTTTTATGCATGTTGTAATAACAAACTAACAAAAAAAAAACACTGTCAGCATGCTGATGCAGCAGCTGGATCAAAACATGGGTTCTACGTGCCGTAATTGATGGACCAGTCCGTATCTGGGCTTGTGCCGGGGACTGGTGACCATGGCCTGTGTTATGTATGGCTGCTCCTTTTGTAACCAGGTGCAGTGCGTTACCACTCATGCATGGACGCGTTGTCCAGCAGTTGATACAAACATAATGATCGTTAAGGCTTACGATGCAAGCTAGTTTTGAACGATAATCGACTCTGCCGGAAGCGGGGGTTTAGTTTCCTGTACAGATGGGGGGGGGGGGCTAAAGCCGCCCCTCCCCAAATTTGGGAGGATTTGTCCTAAATGTCGGGAGAAGCCTGTTTGTTGGCATATTTTGGTGCTAGGTTGGGTCGTTTTATACTGTTCAGCCCGCTCTGAACGTATTTTGTGAAACTATCCACCTCAACAGAAAGTCAATAGGCACCGACTGTCATTTCAAATGGCATGCATAAATGCAAGACATCGTCCTCGTAAAGTGATGTCGCGCTCCCGTTTATGAGGTATGCGCATGCACCCTGGTATGCATAGCATGCATTTGTTCTATATAATATAGGATGTGCACGGGCTCATCAAGTCCTGAGCAAGACATGTAGTGGTATGAAGGCTACACAGTACTTACTACTTCTTCGCTTCCATTTTCAATCTTGGGCAGGATAATGGAGGCATAGGCCCAATAATGGATGATGGAGAAGGATTGTGGTGGCATGTGCCTCCTAGACGGCGGAAATAGCATATTTTTGCCAGTCACTTCGTATGGTGGCATGGAAAATTCGGGTTTGGCGCCCCTAGAACCGGGCGTGGGATCCCACTACTGCATGTCTCAACAGTGGTTCTCCGGTCGGGTTATAAAGCTTTCATTCCAGACCGCATGTTTGCCACTTGATTGTTAGTGTAGAATAGCCAGCTTATCGATTCACTTTCCTGCTACAATTCTGTAATTGTAGTTACGTGCTCGCACGAACTGCTGCATTGTTTTCGTAATGGCAGCGCACCGTGTAGGATTAAAACGTGTAGGTATTTTAGGTTCTTTTTTGTTTCTCTGCCAACTTGTTTTTTCTGGATATTGTCATAACAAGCTGGTGAAAGCTGTCCAGTTCGTTGCTGTCAAGTGCCTGAAGTCGACGGTGTCACCCCATCCTAGAAAGAAGATTTTTATCACAAGGTCGGATCAGGAATATTTGTGCCTGGAATGATGTACAGGAGTATCTACCAAGCATTTCCGTGACAAATTCAGACACAACGAATACTTCATAATTTGACAGCTTTGTCAACTATCCCCTGTTCCCACTACACTTTGCTCAATGGCCAGTGTTCCCACGTCAGCACTTGCAAATAATTAAGCATGTTATTAATTTTGTATTGACCCTTTTCATTTTGCTCCATAGACTTGGATCTTTTAGTGTACCAACACCAGTAGTTTCTGCCGGCCGGTTTAAACCGATGGAAGGCGGCGAATGGACCGCGCTTCAGCCCTGCCAACCCTAGCGCCAGGACGGCGGTTAGGGGGGCGGAGGGGGGGGGGGGGACAGCGCGCCGTGTGCCCGCCTGACGCGAGTCTCCGCTCGCCGCAGGGACCCCCGCGCGCGCCGCCTGGCCCAGATGGACAGCCACCAGCGGCCGGCCGGCAGTCCGCTGCCCGAGCGGCCTGTCCTTCAAGGAGAAGATGAAAATGTTCGCCGTAGAGTCGGGCGAGCCAGCCACGCCGTGCCAGCGCACCACCACCAGCAGCCGGCAGCGGGAGATCGAGCAGCGGGCGGCCGGCGCGAGCCCGCCCTGAGGCGCCGGCTGTGCGCCCGTCCTGCTGTCGCCGCCGCCGCCGCCGCCGCCGCCGCCGCTGTCGCCGTCACCGGAGCATCTCGCCACCATGCCGGCCGGACGTGGGCGGTAGTCACCTGTACATGGCTGCCGGCCGTGCGGGCTCGCGTGGCTGCCGTGTGACAGATGACCGCCGAGCAATGGGGCTGGTTCGCACGCGCGCGCCGGCGCCGGCCGCGTGTCGCCCCCAGGGTGGCGCGCTCGAGGTGGGACTAGTTTCTTATCCGGCTGCTGCGACCGCCCGGGCCGGCCTTCGGAGCGGCGGATGTTGTCCGCCGGCTGCCGCCGACCGATGTTGGTTTTGTTACCGTTGGCCCTCGGTGTGAGCGGCTCTGATAATGCACGGGCCTACAATGTGTCCCTGTTTTGCCGGCGGATGTCGCGGCGTTGTGGATCTCGCGAACCGTCGGCGCGCCCCGGCGCCCACTTTGTTCTTAATCATGACGAGAGGCGCTGATGCGCATGCGCGCCGTGCTCGGCTGTACCGATGCTGACTGTAAGTTATTCGTTTTCATCACTGTGCCGCCCGCCGCGGCGCCCGTCACGGCAGGTGCCTGAGCGTCGTATTTGTCTTGCGCGACGTCCCACCAGTCTTGCAGCGGGGGAGAGCGCCCGCCTTTCCTGACCCGCTGCGCTCGGGCCATGTATAGCAGCGGGCTCCGCGTCGGCCCTGCGCCACCCGGCTTCCCCTCTGTGTTGGCGCCGTTTCCCGCCGCGTGCGCGCCGTCCGTTCGGTCCGCTTATGGCTCCGTCCTCACACCCCGTGGCCGCGCCGCGCGAGAGAGCGAGCGATGCCCTCCGTCTTGCCGGGGCGTTTGTCGTGCAGCTGGTCTGGCGGCCGCCGCAGGCACATCGCAGCCGGCGAGAGCTGTCCGTCCCCATGCGTAGACGCCGTCCCGTAGCCAGCCCCGCACCCGTGGTCCGCCACCCTCGCGCAACTTGGCCAGTCGGCCGCGCCTCGCGCGCGCGCCCCTTGTTAGTCGCTGCTCACCATCACCCATCACGGTCGGGCGTGCTTCGCTCCCCGCACCATCACCGCTCGCGCCGTCACATCCGTCGTGGGCACGCGCACCGTCTCCGCTGCTGCCACCGCGTATTGTTATTGCAGACCAAATACACATATCCCTCGAGCGTGGTGTGATGGCTGGCTGGCCGCGGTTTGTGTCGTGTTGAAGACGCGTGGTCAGAGGGGAGGAGAAGGATGCAAAATGGCTCTGGCACGCGCGGTCGGGCGGACCGATACTCGTAATCAGAGTGACGTTAATAACACTGGGCAGGACTTTTTGGAGAATGTATTGCGATGATCAGTACGGAACCAGCAAATTTGATTTCGCATCGCCTGATTGCAAAAAAGTGCATACCTGAAATACTTGTTTGGATATCTAATGAATTGTGCATGTTGTGCGAACTTTTCTCGGAAAATTACGCGTTTGGTTGAAGATGCCATCCAAGAATTCCATTAGGATGCAGCACAAGCGCGTCCGTTCATCACGTATATGGGAACGAAAGACCGCCAGGAAGTGACAGCAAAAAGTATGCTGTGTAATAAGCCAGTCAGCGACTGTGTGCGCTACTGGACTGAAGTGGGATGCGTTTTTCGGAAGACCAGATTTTTTTTTTTTGAAATGAGAAAGGAACCCGCGGCGGAAAATCGATCACTGCAGGGACGGATCAACCGCCAAAGAAAAACAATTCTCGAAGCACGTGCCATCGCCGAATTGAATTTCAGATGGGCCGTGCGGAGAGCTTCGCCGTAACCTGCGGCGAAGGACCCCCTGTGACGGAGTAGGTGGAACAGTACATAGGCTCACTACGAGTGCCTAATCTTTAAAGGTCGATAGGCCGCGAAATCGTCACCCTCAAGAGACATGCCCAACTTCTGTGTCCCGGAACAGATCCCGCCGGCTGGTTTAGTATAATACTCGGAGGAGGCTGGGTATTGACCATGCTGACCTTCATCCTTCCCCCCCCCCCCCCCCCCCAATTGATCAAGTCCGATATTTTGGTCACTTTATCATTGGTCTGGGATTTGTGCAGCATTCTAAAGTTGTACACCCCATGCTAAAGCCTGACCTGCTCGAAAGTGAGAAGAAGAGTGGTCTGTGCACTAGTCTGTCCTTCATTTTTGGGTTGCGGCGAAGGGGGTGGAAATATTGGTCGTTATTGGCCTATGTCCACCGCGCCCTTGATTCATCATACTCTAGTAGATCCTAACAAAATAGCGCTATTTTAATCATGTTAACGTTTTTATTGAACTTTGTATTAGGCTCTGGCTCATGATTCAACTCGGTTGTGGTGTAATTGAATTTTTTTTAAATTGTGTAGGTCCCGGTGCAGCGCCGGGTGGCTGGTGGGCGCGGTGCGGCGCCGGGTGGCTGGTGGGCGCGGTCGATAGACAAGTTATGTAAGAACAAAAGACACGGCCGTCGGCGGAGTCTAAGGCGGCGTTGAAGTGCAAACAACGCTTGTAGTTTGCAAGGCAACAAAGAATCGCGCGCAGTCGGTGGCGAACGAGTGTAAGCGGTTCGTCCGTCTGCAAACTTTCTCGTCACGACAGGGCACTTTTTGTGCATTTACCTGAAAGCAATCAAGATTGGCAACCGCACAAGCCGGCCAGGCCAAACGTCGCCACCTGTTAGCTCGGATTAGCGCCGTTGCTTTATACCCAAACAGTACTTGCATGTCGTTTCAGGCGGAGTGCCGCCCAGAACATGTGCCATGAAACAAGGCAGGCAAAGTTCGATGCGCATCGTTAGAGGCTAAAACGTCATAATCCCGTGCCAAGCGACGCGTAGAGCGACGCCCGGCGACGGCAATGATTCCGAGAATATGTGCTGCCTCGGCGGCAAGGTGCTTCGCCATTCCGCCTCGTCGGCCCCCCTTGACCGCACGAAACAGGGTTTGGCGCGCGGTTTATGTCTATTTGGCGCGCGGTCTTTGTCTATTTTACCCATCAATGGCCACAAATGGCACAGGCCTCTCGTAGTTGGCTCCTCCTGTCTACTGCCGTCGAGGCGGTTTTTTGATCCATGGACAAGAGAAGAACAGGTGAAACGGCGCGATCCCATACCACTGCGGGCCGAACAGCAGGTCAAAATATGTCGGAACAAGACCAGAAGTGTCTAATGATAGTCGGGTCGTTCCGGCGCCCAAATAAAAAGTCAGTGAAAGAAATTCAAACGAAAAAGTCGCGCGACAAATAGTCGATAAGGATAAAAGCCAAATCAGAAAGAGCTGAAGGACAAAAAGTCAAAAGAGAAAAAGTCGACAGAGATAAAAGTCGAAATGAAAAAAGTCGAACACCGAGAAGTCCATAACAATCCAATTTGAATCGGAAAATTCGAAAAAAAAAATACAATGAACGTCGGCGGGATAAATATTTGAAAGCACTTCACTGCCAGAAACCGTGAGCTCGGGACAGTTATTTGTTGCTGTTTTTTTAACTGGTGAACACCAGTTAACCAGGGTGTTGTGCTTGCGGAAAGTCAATTGAGATAAAGAACGAGGTTTTGGTGTTTGTAAAGGAACCAGGGGGAAATAGGAACCCATGTTTGTAGTTGCAAAACAGCCAGTGAGGACCAGGAACCAGGTTGTTGTGTCTGCAAAGTAACCAATGGGATATAAAAACCAGGTGAGGTTGATGATATCACCAGCCGGAATCAGGGACCAAAAATCTTTTGTTTTCAGGCGGGAATATGTGAATGGGAGGCAGTAAAACCCCTCGCTATCACGGGCGCATCCGAGTGCAGTCGGCAGCATTCCCTATCATGTGTGGTGTCAAGCCACGAGTGCTCTGCTGTGTCAAAACCTTGACTACCTGCTTGCTTACTTTTATCTCTATCCATGCTCATACAGGTCGCTTTTTGTCTTTTATTTCTTTCAATCTGACCTATCGCTGTTGACTTTTGTCCATTACGACTTTTGTCCTTTGTTAGTTTTATCACAGACAACGTTTGCTCTTGCAAGATTCTCCAATATTTTACCACCATTAACTTGCATCCCTGCTGCCTTCTTCCGATTCCACTTTTATCTCTGTCAATTGTTATCCCATTGGACTGCTTGCGCTTTGCCTTTTATCGATCGCAGCTCTATCTTTGTCCATGTGTATCCCTTCTGACCCTTGTCCTTCGGCTTTTCCAATTTCACTTTTATTCTTGAGGACTTGATCGATTGAATGATTGCAAAATTTTTCAACGATTTTTAATTCACAATTTAATTTAATTTACTGTGATTTACTCACAGTAAACCCTTCAACTACTCTCCATATATATATATATATATATATATATATATATATTATAATATATATATATATATATATACAATACATGCATATGTCATAAAACATATACAAAATATATGCATATAGATAGATGATAGAGATAGATAGATGATAGATAGATAGAGATATAGATATATATATATATTATATATATATAATATATATATATATATAATATATATACTGCATATGTCTATATAAACATATAAAAATATATGTATATGGATAGATATATATAGATAGATATATATGCATATGTAATATATATATTAATATATATATATAGATATATATATATATATATATGTATATATAGTATATATATAGCATATGTAATATATATATACATACATAAATATATGTACATATATTATATGATAGTAAGATATATACATAGATAAAAATATGTTATATATATATATATATATATATATATATATATATATATATATATATGACTATCGACTGTCAGTACAGCACACCTGTCCGATCTGCATTTTCATCCTGTTCGGTCAGCACCCGCCAGCGTATCACTCAATGCTTGGTGGCTGACTTGAGCGGTGATTTCCACACTACGGCGTCCAGTTAAAAGGCTTGTATGTTGAATACTTTTTAGTTGCACGCGTGATGCTTAACCTTGTGGAGACGATACCATTTTCATAAAATGACAGCACATGAAAATGTTTATAACTGAACCCGCAAATCGCATCTATGTACATTCGATAGGGTTGGTATACCTGCCAGAACAACACACTTGTAGGATTTTTGTTTCGATCCTGCTCTGTCGACGCCCAACGGCGCATCCGGTCGCAGCCGGTCGCAGCAGGGATTTCCACAGATTCCAGTCCTACCTAAAAACCTTTTACTTGTATCCATCAGGCGTAACCTTTGCACAAATGATGTCATTGGGGGAGCATTATCAGCCGGAAAATAGATCTCTCATCGCCCGACATGAACTCTTTTGTTCAAACACCCCCTGGCGCCGCAAAGCCAACTTAGTTACGTGGTAGTTACCTAGTTACTTACTTACAAACTAACTTCGCCGACCAAGTTAAGTTAACTTAGCTAACTACGTTAGCTAAGTTAGTTACAAAGCTAACTAACTTAGCTGACTTAGTTAACAAGTTTAAACTTCAGCAGGTCTGCGCTTAGAGTGACGGCCATAAGACAGCGGCCTGTGAAAGCTAATCAATCAAATACGAAGACCCCAAAATCTGGGGTCTTCATGCTTCATCGAATGCACATGTCTAATGTGTGCATTTGATAGAACAGGTATAGAGCAATCAGTTGCCAATATAACACATTCATCGAAAATAGTCATCATTGAATAACTAGGAATAAGAGTATTAAAACTCTTTTGTCTAGGTACGGCATTCAATCTGAAATACCTTTAATCGCACGCGGAAGGAGTTGCCTTGCGCAGACGATTCATTCTGGATGCACTATCAGCCAGCAATGTGAATCTCTGATCGGCCGATATGATCCTCTGTTTAAATCACCCCCTTGACGCCGCATGGCTTACGGCGGCTGGCCTGCGTGAGAAATAATAACCGTAATGCAGTGTTGATTTGGCCGGGGAGCCATCAAAACGTCCAGGATCGCAGCGTCCATTGTTCATATCGTCCAAGATCGCAGTATCCAGCGGTCATTAAGTCCAGAAAACGTCCAATTCCGTGCCCATTGGGGGCGTTCATTAAGCCCAGGGACGCAACGTCCAGAGTCGCAAAGTCCAGAGTTATAAAATCCAGTGTTCAAAACGTCCAGCATACATGGCAACCACGCTAATTTGGATTCCTGCCGCTAAATAACACTACGGAACCATCTTTGAGTCTTACCGCTGTTTCCCCC